ACTCTAGAGTTTTATTCAGATTCTATCGAAAAGAGCAGGTATCTATAATGCACACATGCACCTGAAACTCTACTACACCTTACATATTGCACAAAACAGGGAAATAATCTTGAAGCTCAAATACCCAAGGGACATTTATCAGCCGTAACCTGTCTTATTTTAATATGATTGTTGTTGAGCTGGTTCACATGTAACACTAAGCCAAACTATGGCTTAGTATTAGTGTGCAAGCTTGAGGGATCCCAGAGACAAGACTGTGGCACCTGCATTCCACCTCCAGTCTTCCTCCTGCTGCATGGATGTACGCCAAGTGATGGCTTGACTTAGCATGCCATTGAAACCCAGGCTCATGCTTTGTCACTCTCCAAACAAACCACAAATTGTAAATCCTAGAGCAAACCTTGGTTACAGCTTCAAGGACATGGGTGGAACTGTGGTTTAAACCACTGAAGCTCTTGGGCTTGCTGATCAGAAGGTCAGCGGTTTGAATCTGTGTGATGGGGAGAACTCCTGTTGCTGTGTCCCAGCTCCTGCCAATCTAGCAGTTCGAAAGCACACCAGTGCAAATAGATAAATAGGTACTGCTGCGGCAGGAAGGTAAATGCATTTCCGTGCACTCTGGTTTCCATCACGGTGTCCCATTGCACCAGAAACGGTTTAGTCATGCTAGTCACATGACCTGGAAAGCTGTCTGTGGACAAACACCAGCTCCCTCAGCCTGAAAGCAAGATGAGCACCGCAACCCCATAGTCGCCTTTGACTGGACTTAACTGTCCAGGGGTCCTTTACCGTTTACCTTTACCTGTTTTGTTGCAGATGTGGGTAAGATGCTGTTGCACTACAACTCCCTAACAAGCATGGCCAAGGATGTTGAGAGTTTTTGTTCAGCAACATCTAGAGGGCCAAATTTCCCCCACATCTGCTCAGTTGTCAGCACCAGATTTAGGGCAATGTTGGCAGTTACCCACACAGAACATTGAGCCTAGCAGAGCACAAAATTGAGAAGATCCATCATTGAGAATATTCATTTGGGGGCACCAAAATTTGGCTTCGCTCAGGGCTCTGTCCTATCAAGTATTACCAAAGTCTGCTTCTGCTGTTGTGTCCTGTGAGCATCTGTGTGGGATGTGATCATGCAATATGAGAGCACAATATTCATAATGTATTTTTCTAAGCAGAAATTAATTTCTTCCTATTACCATTTAAAAATGTATTTATGTAGGAGAGACATATGCGGATGAGGCTAATCTTATGTTTTGCCTCGTTTTGTTTTTAATTATAGAAATGAATCAAGGAGCTGCATTTCAATTTCTTTTCACGGCTGTGCGTCCACATTTTTATAGCTTTGAAATGTAATATCATAACCATGAACTTGAGTACATGGATATATACATATATAAAACAAGCCTAGAAGTAACTTAGGCTAAATGTTACTTTTTAAATGCACATTTTTAAACAGCATCACTCTCTCTCTTTTTAAAAAGAATTGCTTTTACTGAGATTCTGCAAAAAAGGGTAAGCGGTAAAATATATAAACAGAAAGAAGAAATAAATAATAATAATATGCACTACAGTTAAAGGTTACCTCAGTTCAAGACAATGGTACATAGGCTGATACTTTCACTCTGACAGAGGGTTACACAAAAATGGATCCATCCAAAATGACAAATGTGATAGTCATCATGCTCCTCTCTCCTCCTCTCTCAATAGCGTAGCAGATAAATGGAAACTAACTTAACTTAATCTGTCTAGGCAACCCCCTCTAGCCATTCTGTGTCCCTGAGTAATTTCCTCATGAGACGTCACCTTTTCTGGGAATTTCAGTGCTTCTGCTGGGCTATGCCTCCAACAAATTGAGGTGGAAAGGAGGTTGCATTTGTCAAAAAAAATAATGAAGCTACTCTTCTGTAGGGTAAAGGTAAAGGGACCCCTGACCATTAGGTCCAGTCATGACCGACTCTGGGGTTGCAGCGCTCATCTTACTTTATTGGCCGAGGGAGCCGGCGTACAGCTTCCGGGTCATGTGGCCAGCATGACTAAGACGCTTCTGGCGAACCAGAGCAGCACATGGAAATGCCGTTTACCTTCCCGCCGGAGTGGTACTATTTATCTACTTGCACTTTGACATGCTTTCGAACTGCTAGGTTGGCAGGAGCAGGGACCGAGCAACGGGAGCTCACCCTGTCATGGGGATTTGAACCGCCGACCTTCTGATCGGCAAGTCCTAGGCTCTGTGGTTTAACCCACAGTGCCACCCGCGTCCCTTCTTCTGTAGGGTAGGTTCTACTAAACAGTTCTGATATTGGGAGCCAGCTCAAGGTTTCCTGCTGAAAGAAGGGGGCTTTCCCCTTTCTCCTCTCCCACATGCTCCCCAAATCAACTCTGGAGGGGTCAGGAGAACCTCCCGAGCAGCATACGAGGGAAGCAGAGGGTAGATTATTATGTTGGGAAAGCAAGCAGAACGCTTGTCTTAGTGCAGCATTGAATTTCTCCCTATATTTTTGCAGGTTGTTAATAAGCAAGATTGCCACCCAAAAAAGGAATTCCTGGTTTACAAAATGCACTGGGCAATAAAAAAAAACATTTGGGGCACTTTGAGAACCCTTTTTCTTAGGTTCCCTCCCCTCCTTAAGCAGTTAGGGGCAGCATGCAGCATGTTACAAGCATACCTTTACATGTGCATCTTACATGTATTTTTAAAAAACTTGTTTTAAGAATTTATATACTGCCCTTCGTTGTAAATTCCAGGAAGGTTTGTGAGGTTAAACTATTGCATATCATAGCAGACTACCACAAAAACAACTCAAAAAGGGTAGTGAATGGAAACAGCAGGGCTGAATCTACACTGACCTATTTAATGTTATTAGAATGGTATTGGATATGTCGTTCTGAAACGTCACAAGTCATACTTGTAAATTAGAGCATTTTTTACCTTGGTTTTTTTATATAGTCAAAACACTGTTTCCCTGCTGGTGGTTGCTGGTTGCTCTGGTGAAGCTTCTGGTGTCACATTTTAATAATGCATTGTGAATATTAAAAATAGGATGCCTTATGTCCATGTACGCTATCAAAAACCATTCCTTAACCCTTCCTTAACGTTAAAAACCATGAGTGTAGATCCGCCCCACGTCTAAACACACATGTGGCCACCAGTTTGAAGACGCTAAGCATCTCTGAGTCTCCTTTTTTTTATATAATTTTTTTCCAGATTTTCAGATATATACATTTCACTGATTTTACAATCATTTTGACATTTCAAAACTTGACTTCCTTCCCCCTCTTTCCGCAGTTCCTTAAATTCATTTTTAATATCTTCTGCATATCCAAATTAACTTAGCTTACTCATTTATGCATCTTCTTTAAATATATACTCTTATGTAGCTGCAGGTTATTACAATAATCCTGCCAGTCTTTTTATCTGTTTACAGTTTATCTGTAAATATTCAATAAACCATTTCCATTCTTTTCAAAAGTTTGCTATCTTGATTTCTTATTCTTCCGGTAAGTTTCACCATTGCTGCATATTCCATAAGTTTTTGTATCCATTCTTCTTTCACTGGAATTTCTTCTTCTTTCCATTTTTGGGCAAGTAACATTCTTGCCACTGTAGTCGCATACATGGATATATTTCTACACAATTTAGGTGGTTCTATCGCTATAATTCTCAGCAGCTCTGAGTCTTGTCAGGACATGAATGGGTGACCATTTTGGAACCATGTGTATGCCAGTTTTGCTCCCATTATGAAATATATGTGAGGCATAAATGTAAGTGGGGCAAATAAGTGTGGTATAAATGTAAGTGGGGCAAAGCGTGTTCTCCATAACAGAGAGCACGTGTTGCGGTGGGGGCCTGCAGCCACCCCACTGTTGTTTGGTTAAAGGCCACGAGCTGTGATTGGGCAAAAGTGTGTTTCTGGGGAGTTTGTTATGTTACAAAATGGTGGGAGGGGTCAGCGGGCTTAAATACAGGGCACGCAGCTTAGGGCTTTCTCTTGGGCTGCATGCACCGGATCACCCACCCACCCTCCCTGAAATGGTGGGGTTCATTGCTCTCTGACCTTGCTATGCCTGTCATGGGGTCGTCTGCTTTTGAGGCAGAGGCCTGGTAGGAATTTTGTCCATTTGGCTGATTGGCTGTGGCCATTTGGTTTTTTGCCTACTGTGTAGCAAATCGTCACAACTTGTAAGGTTGGCGGTTAGGCATTGGTTAGAATTGGTTGGTGGAGGGGTAAGTGCCTACCCCTCCAATGGTGGTGCTGCATAGGGAATTCTGTTAAAGGAATCCAGGGGCTTGCCATCCCTTTCGTCCTAGTCCCTGGCATCGGACTTGGGCTAAGCAAGCCCCTGGGGGCATGAGGGTGAGAGATGAGGGACTGATGCCCAGCTTCTTTTCTCCCCAATATGGTTCTCCCTGACTGGCTTCCACTGGAATCCGGAAGTCAGTTCTGTCCCTGGGGCAAGGACAGATAGTTGTAACCAATGCCTAAGCAACCACTCACGTGTGTGTATTTAAATAAAGTTGTGGCCAAATTCGTGCCAAAAACCTTAAACAAAAATTGATGTGTGTGGTGTGAGTTATTGGGGTGGCTTGGGGACCTCGACGCGCAAATAAGACAATGCAACAATGATTAAAAGTCTTGAGGAAATGTTTTAAAAGGTATTTGCTTGGCACTAAAAAATACATCCCAGGTGTTGGGTGGTCCTCCCAAGGGAGTGCATTCTACAGATATGGCACCACCACCACGAAGTCCCTCTCTTTATCTGCTTGCTACCCTGTTCAAAATACAAAGCAAAGATGCAATATTGACATTGTAGAACACTTCTCCTTTTCACCCTTTTGCTTACAAGTGGAACTGTGCAGAGGCATTTTACAAAGCCTTGGCTCAAACTTGGCAGGACCTCTAGAGAGAATGTAAAATTACTTCAGGGCCCTCATCTACCCTGTGGGCGGCCAGCTAGCAATTCATGCCTTACATAAAATTCTCCCGCTTTTCTTGCAGATCACGTTGTGTGCGAAGAGGAATTCAAATATGCAATGCTAGCTTTAAACTGTATTTGCCCAGCTACATCCACACTCATCACCTTGTTAGTTCATACCTCAAGAGGGCAGTAAGTATAAAATTCCTTAAAATTATGCCCTGCTGTTGCAGGTGCACACTAGAAGTGTCCGTCTGTGAAAATCACATTTTATTTTATTTTTCTTAGAAGAACTTTTTCAGGTGACCAAACATTTCCCTCTATATTTAGAACTGTGTTGCTGTGCTGTTCAATTGGCAGAAGAGTCTGAGTTTCCAAATGGATTACTGGGAGAAGCTGATTTATTGATCTCATATATCTTGTATCTTTCCTTAGTTTAAGGAGTTTTTTTAGGCCTTGTTTATGACGTGGCTGCTTTAGGAATAGCTTTGCCATCTATATTCCTCCCCATCTGCTAGAGATAAAGCCTTATGTCTTTCTCCTTGCACTGTGGGAAGTTCTGCCTGTGTTGCTCCCCCATAAAACATTTCTCTTACTTGTGGGGAGAAGTATATATATATATATATATATATATATATATATATATATAATGCTAATAATCAAAGGACATGTACACATGTATTGCAGAGCTGAGAGACTGGAAGCAAGTTTTGAATCCCATACGCTCTAACATTTCTCCAATAAAAATAGGAATGTCAAATTCCATAACCAATAAAATAAAAATAGCAAAAGGTATGAAAAGACACCTTTTAGTAGAGTAGCATGCCTTTATTAGGGACGCGGGTGGCGCTGTGGGTTAAACCACAGAGCCTAGGGCTTGCCGATCAGAAGGACGGCAGTTCGAATCCCCGCGACGGGGTGAGCTCCCGTTGCTCAGTCCCTGCTCCTGCCAACCTAGCAGTTCAAAAGCACGTCAAAGTGCAAGTAGATAAATAGGTACTGCTCCAGCAGGAAGGTAAACGGCATTTCCGTGTGCTGCTCTGGTTCATCAGAAGCAGCTTAGTCATGCTGGCCACATGACCCGGAAGCTGTATGCCGGCTCCCTCGGCCAATAAAGCGAGATGAGCACCGCAACCCCAGAGTCGGTCACGACTGGACCTAATTGTCAGGGGTCCCTTTACCTTTATGTCTTTATTATGTTAGCAGTAGCAGCGGAGAGGGTGGGACCCTCTCACATTGTAGACTTTCTTGGCTGGTATGATTGTTACCACATGACTCGAAGTATGTGGCGTGGGATGTTTTCACTCAGAGAATAATAGATCAAGTAATAAGAAAGGAATAATTCCTGTAAATTTATTTCTGGCTACTTGACTGTATTAAGGTGCTGGTTCGGGTGCTTAAGTTGAATGCTGGGTCTGCTTAAGAAAATTAAAAAGTCAAGATATTCAAGAATATCTTGAATTGGCCAAACTTACAGGTTTAATAAGAAATTATTCTAACAAGAAAATAAGGAGAGAGTGGGAAGTCTTTATGAATTATATGAAGAGAACTGATTCATACTTGTTTAGCTTAGAATAAATATCTCACAGGTAATTAGAATATTTCTCCAAAAATTTAATCCTTACAGACAATCAGTGATATGAGGGATAAAGATCCACATGGACTTAGTTGGAAGTCAATTTTCTTCTTCTTTTTCAGTATTATTTTTCATTCTTCTTTTTCCTTTTTTAGGAGAACGTAATGCTTTATGTTTTTTTGATTGTAGTTTATGTTATTATCCCCGTTCGTTTTATTCAATGCTTGTTTGTATGATGAATAAGTATAAATAAATAAATACAATTAAAAAGTCACAAGGTGGGAGTGGGGAGCGCTCTGAATAAAACACTGCCATTTGCTCACAGGGGAGTGTTTAGCCTTTTGTGTGGCAGTCGAGCATCACCCACAGTGGACCAAACGCCACAACACTCTGAGGCAGGCAAATGTCAAGATATTAATGGTTCCCATTTCATTGGCACCTGCTAAGAGAAGCGGAGGGGAGGAAACAGCTTTGCTTGCCAGACGTGAACACTGAAGGGAAAGGGGGAAGAGAAACATAGCTTCATTAGCATTAATGTGCTCAGCCAAGTGTCTGTGGAGTTCTGAGCCCATGATCATTTGGCGGTTTTCTTTAGCAAATAGGAATTAATTAGCATAAGATTGGGGGGGTTTAGTTTTGCTGTTTTTAAACGTTCTTACTATTAACTCCTTATCACAGATGGTTTTTCTATTTTACATAGCTTGTCCTTTCCGTTGCAGACTTCTACAGCAGGATATTCGTATTGAAGTGAAAAATGTTATACTGTAATGTAAAAAGAAAAAAAAGAGGGGGAGGGAGTTAAACCTTTATTTCAGGTATTTGTATACTGCTTTTCAAGCCAACCTCACAAAACGGTTTACCTAAAATTATTAAAATGAAAAACACCAGCTAAAACGACAGAACGATGTGGTAGAGACCATGCAAAGGCGTGTGCAGATTTTAGAAAGCTAGATCTCTCTTCCCCTCAAGACAAGATGGTGCCTAGGTAGATCTGAGGTAACTGCTGAGGGAGGGAGAGACAGCCTGAAGAAGATGGCGGGCAACTCTCTGAGCTGTTCTGTTTTTCTTTCACTCCTCCCCACGAGGGAAGTTGGAGACACTATAAAATGACTTGTGACAGAGTGGCAATCCAACCTCAGTAAATTCCCATGCATGACTTTTTATCCTGGACTTCTTGGCATTCTTGAAGGTTGTTGTCATCGCCATGTGATCAATGGTGGAGAAGAGGCTCCATTCATGTCATGAATCCGTCATCCATCTGCACGGTGAAACTGTTTAATATTGTTTTCTATATGTGTTTCAGGGAGGGCCAACAATCCCCAGAACAGTGGCAGAAAATGTACGGCAGATGCTCTGGTAATGAAGTGTATCACATTATCCTGGAGGAGAGTGTATTTTTTGCTGAATATGAGGGAAAGAGTTTCACATATGCATCTTTCCATGCACACAAAAAGTATGTTTCATTTCTAACGGTGGCATTTAACGTGACTTCCTTTCAGAAACTCTTTCTTTGGTTGACTGGAATGCACAGGGCTGTTTGGCCTGTTAGTAAGAAGCCTGCGCCTCAGTTGATAGGGTTTTATGTGAATGTATGCTACAGAGACAGCCTTGGTTGGGTACATTGGAATTTAAAATTGTACCATTTCCGTAGCTCAGAAGCTACTACACCTTTCTCACTGCATTCTTAAAGTAGACTACTGAGTGTAGACTCTCACCTGGAAGCTTCTTCCCAGTTCCTATATGTTTGGTGGCTGATATTGATTGTTCTGGGCCAAACCAGATAAGAGCTTCAGAAATGCAATTTTCACTGGGAAAATAGTGTTCTCCCTGGACGCCATGGTCCTGATCTCAGTTGGCATTGATATGGTTGATATCAAGGAGACAAGAGATCCAGTTGTTCGGCCCTCATCAGAAAATGTAAGGCTAATCCTATGTATTGAAAAACCACCTGACGCCTAGTGAGATCTGCTGTTTGGTTATGCACAGGCATAGGCAAACTCCGGTCCTCCAGATGTTTGGGACTACAATTCCCATCATCCTTGACCACTGATCCTGTTAGCTAGGGATGATGGGAATTGTAGTCCCAAACATCTGGAGGACCGGAGTTTGCCTATGCCTGCTTTACCACTTAAGCAAAATAAACACGTGCTTCAGGCATCAAGGGAAGGGAAGCAACACAGAAATTTTCCATTGGCAGATTTTTAACATGAATGGTCACAACTTGCTCAGCTGAGCATTCATTTTCTCAGCTGAAGGATATTAAAAATCCCAACAGAACGACTAGGCAACAAGACAGGCTGGGCGTCTCATTTCTACTAAGTACAGAAGCAGATGTGTCACGTAAGATTAGTTTACAGGATCTGTTTGAAAACTTTCTTTTCCGTCTCACTGTAGGTTTCGTTTCATTTCAAAAAACAAAAATTTATTTTACGGTTTATTATTGTTTATATTTTTAATTAGATACTGTATATATGGAGGCACCAAAATATTTTAAGTGCTCAGGGACCTCTCTAAAGGTCTTAATTCAGCACTGCACTTCTCCCTTCCCAAATCCCATGGCCATAGCCATGTTAAATCCACATCATGCTCCCCAACTTTGGTTTTCTCTCCTGGTCCTAACTAGTGCTTGCTACTCACATAAATGGGGAGGGTGCTCTATGTCATCTCAAGCAAAAAAAGTGTCAAAACAGAAAGATGTAAAAGATTTGAATGTGCCACATTGGGTGGTAGTGTCCCCCAAAGTGGTTCGAGCCGCCATGTTCTCTTTTTAGAGAATAGAATTGAGCGTTCTTTCTCAGTTAGTTACACTTAGAAAGGCGTTCTTGCATCTCACACAAGTTCTTGTTTCAAGAATAGCTTCCTTGGAGTTCTGGTCATGTTTAGAAAAGAGTGGTGCATTCCCATTACTGTTTGGCAAAAACGGTATAGACAACTGGTCTGCCAAGTAGTTAATGGGTATTTGTGGGAAAACTCAATTCCTCTGGGTCTCTTTGCCTGTGTGGAATGTGTCCTTGAACTTTCACAATGTCTCTAGGTTTCCTGGATGGAAAATAGAGAGGTATGTTTGAGAGAGAGTGTATGTGAGTGTGTAGAAACAAGCCTTCTGTAGAAAGCTGAATTTAATATTTTTTTGTCCACTATTTTCTGTGGCTCCTCTGGCATGTGACCCCAGGAAGGTTCCCCAGATGAGCAGACAGACCTTGATCTGAAAAATATTTTTCACCTGTGCTACACAGCATACAACGTATGAGCTTAGATGGATTTCCTTTAGGACAAACCATTTTTGTCTTACTGCATAAAGCTCAGAAACACACAGACAAATGCAAGCAATGTTCTAAATCATCAGAGGCAAAGCTATTTTCTCTTTACCTATTTTCAATTGTTTATAAATAGGTTTTAAGAACACTTTGTAGTGAGAAAAGGACCTGAAAATAGGTCTCTGCTCAGCAATAATAGCACAATTTTAATATGGTGCATAATAGGAGTCTTCTTTCATTTTATGGACAGGGGGTGGGATTAAGAGTCTGATTAGAGAAATTAGCTGGTGCAAGGTGAAAAAGGCTTAAAACATTTTCCTGTTATATCCCTCGAGATGTCATTATAATGCAGGAGCTGCATTTGATCACAAACATAATTTGAGGGGAACTAATTCTGTGCAAGGCAGAACTCGAAAATATGCTGACTGTATGGCAATTTGTGTGATGTCAGTATATGAAAGGCATGAGTAAGAGGTTGTGATGACAATGGTATCCTAAGATGATATCTCTGGGGCATCCTATATTTATCCCAGTCCAAGATGCTAGTTTTGACTTCTTAAGTCCTATATGCACTGAATAATACGTACTTGAGGGTGTGTCCAGAACACTGTTCTTTCACGCGTTCAAGTTTGTTTCTTATTCTCCCATTTTTTTAAAAAACAGAAAAACTTTGCGTGTTACCTCTACATCTTCTCTTTCTGGAGCTAAGAGTTCTGGTTAAGGGTTAATGCTTTATTTGCATAATTGCACCTGTATATCCTTCCAAAAATATGAAACCATTTCACCCCACAAAAAAAGTGGATTTGGAGCCCTGGAGATAGGTCTTAATTAATGCATACGGGATCAATAACTAGTTTAAAGAAAATGGAAAATGGAACAAATTCACAATGTAACAAAAAGAAAATTAGGACTCACCCACACTGGAGTTTAATGTGGATCTGAAACTGCTTGTGTCTCTATGGGGGTTTTTTTGGGGGGGCAGTGTCCACAAATTGTCCTTATTCAAGCAGCAGCCCCCACTCTCCCTACTAAATTCAGGTTTTGCTGGGCTGTGCTTAATCAATAAAGGAAGACACTCCAATATAAAATCACATGTTAACTAACTGTGGACACACTGAAGCACACTGTGTTTTGTTTTTACAAATGTTGTGACAATTCACTGGCTGCCATCTATCACCACACACCCTACATCTAATCTGTTTCCATCAGCCCAAAGGAAATTATGCAGCCTACCCTTTTCCACCAGTTGAAGGCAGGCTCACAGTATTTTATATTTCATTTAAAACAGGCATTTGTGCAGAACTGCTCTTGCACAAAATAACTGTAGTACCAATAAAAATGGTCATTTCAGGTACAGGAGACAGGAAAAGATATTGGAGGAAAGAAAGCAGCAGTCTTTCATGTGAGCAACTCAAAATTCTTGCTGAGCTTTGAAGCAACACACACACACACACACTTTTTACTGCTCTTTTGTGCAAATGTGGTACACAGGGAAGCTTGTATTTAAAAAATAGACAAAAAATAAAAGATGGAAGTACACAAGTAAATGAATACCTGCTTACATGCCCATAGAGGGCCTCAGATTTTGGGATCTTATTGTGGACAGAAAAGTAATAACCGAGGGGAAGAGACAGTAGTACACAGTGGGAATACACCTCAAACACCCCCCCCCCATTCTAAAATCTAGACAGATTTTAGAAGCATAAAATTGAAATGCCCATGTGTGGATGAAGACTCACAAACTTCCCCATGGAAACAGCAACACAAGTAGACATTAGCACCCTAGTTTGGACGCAGCCTAAGTCGAAAAACAACGAAAAAGAGATGGAACAATTATGAGGACAAGGGACACCATGAGAACTTTGTCCGGACAAGTTACAAAAGTGGTTGAGCTCCTTTAAAAACAAAATAGACATTTTAAGTTCCATTTCCATTGCTTTTCTTTTTTGCGCAAGCCCCGTGTGACACATTCTGGTTTGCAAATTAGACTGCACCCTCTCAATGATAGCAGCAGTTTTACTATGTTGGAATTAAAGCAGTTTACACAATCAAATATTATAGTATAGAGAACTAAGAGATCCTAGTTGAGGGTGGGGCATTTACTGGACCAGTAAGATTCATTAGATGGTGAAGGAGTGGACTACTGGCTGCAAGAGAATGCTTCTTTCAAGTCTAATTTCTTTGTGAGCAGCAGAGTCTGAGAACATGGAGAGGGGGCAACCTCTGATATTGGAAGCTTGGGGGGGGGAGTAATGTATTTTCATTTTGTTCAGCTTGAGCTTTCCACATAATGTGGAGGATACAAGAATAAATTTATTTTTGGGTCTATGTTTATATACATCCTGCACTTTGTTCCGTTTTTCCCTAACCACTTTTTTATATATACAAATTTTAAATTAAGGTTTGGTGTCTGTCTAATTGGTGTCAGGAGGGAAGACAACAAAAATATTTTGCTCAACCCAGGGCCTCGCTATATCATGAGCTCTTCAGATATATGTTTTTATATCAACATCACAAAAGAAGAAAATTCAGCTTTTAAGAAGCAAGAGCAGCATCGGAGAAATCACATGTCAAGGTCGTTTTATCATGGTCCTTCTCGGTTGCCAGTCCACAGCATAATTGCTAGTATGGGTAAGCAAAAGTAAAGTGATGCTGTTTTTGTTAAATATATAAAAAAGAAGCAACAAAATAAAATCTGCTATTGGGGAACAGTTGTTTGCTATGTATTTGGGCATCTCATAAGATATTATAACCAAACTTTGTATGATGGTTCCCAAGATCAAGGACCAGGTTTGGACACAATCAGACACTAATTTGAATCAAGATGGCAGATCAAACCTTTCAAATCTTCACTTAAAAAAAAAAGAAGAATTTCTGAGCAGTTTTGGGTATGAGACTGCCAGTGATGTATGAAATACAAAACTATGGGCAGTATTCAACAAAATATTTGTGTTAGCATGCAAACGATTTATTGTTGCTGCTGTCGTTGTTGTTAATAATTTTAATAATAATAATTTGTATACTGCCCTATACCCGCAGGTCTCAGGTCATTTCACAAGATAAAATCACAGTACAGTTCTACCTCGGGTTAAGTACTTAATTCGTTCTGGAGGTCCGTACTTCACCTGAAACTGTTCTTAACCTGAAGCACCACTCCGCCGCGCCGCCGGAGCACAATTTCTGTTCTCATCCTGAAGCAAAGTTCTTAACCTGAAGCAATATTTCTGGGTTAGCAGAGCCTCTAGCCTGAAGCGTATGTAACCTGAAGCATATGTAACCCGAGGTACCACTGTATTAAAACAAAAAAGACATTTAAAAATTGACACTAATGCAATGGGATTTCTCCCCCCCCCCCCCAATTCTTAGCATTATTTATTTATTTATTTATTTATATTGGGTTTTATAAACAAGAATAATGTTATACAAACAAGTATACCAAGTTTTCTCATTTCATCTGTGTATCACAAAAAATAGCATTACATTGATGGTACATTCTCCTTAAGCCTGTGTTGACTCCATCCCCATAAAATGTTAATCGGAGACAGCATTTTGACATAACCTCAAATAAATTGGATGAGTCAAATCGAAGTTCCTGCACATCACTTTATGTAAAAGCACTCAGTGTTCTTGCCCTGTGTTGTTATTTCAAACCTTACTTGAGGTAATCTTACAATTCACCCACTGATTGAGAGGGGAACAGCTCCATTTTTCAGAAGCTGATTTTTTCAAGTAATAGCTACAGAAAGATTGAGTGTTAGAACAGGTAATCCAAGCCTTCAGCTCAAATAATTGCAGCCCATTTCAAGTCTCTCCCATGCTCATTAAAGCCTTGATTGGGTTAAAATGGGTGGGCTCTTCGTCCCGCCTACCCAGATAAGTGTTCGTTCACCCTTACAATGCAATATGGAATTAAATACAAATCTCTCTCTTTTTCTGGTCCCTCTGCTGGAATTGTAATCAATGCAATGATTATCAGTCTGCCAAAATTCAGAGGGAATGATTATCTTAGTGGGCCTTTGCTGAGTGTTTCACAGGGATTGGTGATGCTGTTGAGGAGAAAGCAGTCCTCTCATATTACAGTCGGCTGAGACTATTGCAATGGGGCATCTAAAAAAAAAGGGGGGGGTGTTCCTTATCCTCCATGGGCCAATGCATAACTAAGGGGTCAAAGAAAGCACCGGCTTTCATCTTTTCTGCTGCAAACAGTTCAGGTCTGTTGCTTCACAAGCCAGCTTCCACCTATGGCCCAGTGGCTCCCTGCTTGTGGAAAGCTCTCCCCAGGGATGTTCGCCTGACACCTCCATTATACACCTTTAAAAAAGGTAAAGGGACCCCTGACCATAGGTCCAGTCGTGACCGACTCTGGGGTTGCGGCGCTCATCTCGCTTTATTGGCCGAGGGAGCTGGCGTACAGCTTCTGGGTCATGCAGCCAGCATGACTAAGCCGCTTCTGGCGAACCAGAGCAGTGCACAGAAACGCCATTTACCTTCCCGCCAGAGCGGTACCTATTTATCTACTTGCACTTTGACGTGCTTTCGAACTGCTAGGTTGGCAGGAGCTGGGACCGAGCAACAGGAGCTCACCCCGTCGCAGGGATTCGAACCGCTGACCTTCTGATTGGCAAGTCCTAGGCTCTGTGGTTTAAGCCACAGCGCCACCCAGGTCATACACCTTTAGGCGCCAGGCAAAAACTTTCCTCTTTAACCAGGCCTTTGGCTGATGGGCATCCGATGCCCTTTAGAATAAGGTTACCAGATTTTTTTTCAATGAATCCGGGGACACTTTTCAACTTCAATGGATTTTGTATGGGGACTGATTTGTAAATCCGGGGACTGTACCTGGGAAACAGGGACGTCTGGTAACCTTACTTTAAAAATGTGTTGGGAGGGGGCTATTGGGTTGTTTTTGTTTTTGTTTTGATTGTATATTTTGTGTTTTTATTTTGTGATTTTATCTTCTGAACCACCCTGAGACCTGTGGGTATTGGGCAATATGCAAATTTAGAGAGATAGATGATAGATAGATAGATAGATAGATAGATAGATAGATAGATAGATAGATAATAGATAGATGATAGACAGATAGACAGATAGAGTATTGGTAGGTTAGTACACTTATGTGATGTTGTAAGATTCAGTCCAATGTTCTGCCAATTCCATTTGAAGTGAATAATAGGAAGTGATTTGAAGTGAGAGGGAGAGGGGAACTGAAGCCCTCATTCCATGTTTTTATTTTTTAAAAATGTGCAGTACTTTTTAGCTACCCCTCTGCAGATTTCTAGCCTCAGAGGATTGAGGTCTCTGCTGACCTCTCCATGCCCAGGGATGCAATTCTGACGTCACATCAAGTTTGGTTTTTAGTCCTCTGGTTCAAATAAAATATGTTGGCCCTCCCGCTACGCACACACATCCCTTTTCAAATGCTAGATTGTTTTGTTTCTTTTCTGCCTTTCCTTCCAGGTACCGTGGCTATAGATTTGCAAGATACCAGCTGCAGATCTCCAAGCGTGGCTACCTTAACCCTTCCTTCAGAGGCAGGAAAAACAGGCAGGAGGCCTAGCATAGCACCCGTTTTGGAGGTTGCTGACACCTCAGCAATTCATACCTGCGACCTCTTAAGTGACCAGTCAGAAGATGAAACAACTCCCTCAGACGAAGAAGTTTCGAATGGCCTTGAGTATGTTCAGTTCACATAAATAAGTTGTGTTTTTTTAGCATGGAGTTGAAGAAAGGAAATTAGATGTGATGGAAATAATTAGAAGCAAAATGTTAATATTTTCATGTGAGGCATGCGCCAGCTTTCCCCAGAATATGTACTTGGTGCTGAAGGATAGAATTCAAGAAAATGGTTAGCGGTAAAAGACAAAGCAGTAAAATCCTGATTTTTAATCTTGCCTATGACTAATAATAACAGAAATTAAAATTAGAGGAGAGGGAACTCATGGTCCCAATGGTACAAATATGCATTTATACAGTGGAACTTACCACACCCACTGGAAACTGGGCCAGTTCTCTCCCGTGAGCGTAATAACTGTTATCAGCAGAATCAGTTCCCTTTTGGCAAAGGCAAGTTTTTCTGAAGTAAAAGAAAAGGGAACAGAGTGCACCAACAGGACAACAGAAGTTAACAGCCAGGAAGTCCGAAGCCAAAAGGTCAGGGTATGCAAACAGGGATGGTTGTATATGCAAAGTAAGATTTGATCAACAATCCAATGCTGAGTTTTTCTTTTTGAAGACTCAGAGGAAAAGAGGCTTAGGAAAATGAGGCAGCAGTGAGATCACAGGCAGAGCAACTGAACCAGGAAAGCCCGTTTTTTTGTTTTGTTTTTTTCTTGTTTTGCAGATATGCAGTAGTTTTTTAAAAAAAATTCCAGATTGCTACATAGGGACACTAGTGAGACTGAATAAAAACTGGAATATTCTCCATAGTAACTCTATGTCTCAGGTAAAGGAGGCTACAATGTACATGGAAAGATATTTATAATAAATAATAATAAATTTTTATTTATACCCCACCCTCCCTGGCCAAGGCTGGGCTCAGGGTGGCTAACACCAAATATGAATTACAATAAAACGTAATAGAAAAAACAAAACAACGACAACAAACAAACAAACAAACAAACAAACAAACAGTTAATTAAAATACAGCTTAAAATACAGCTTAAAATGGAGCCTCATTTTAGTAGTAGCCCATAAATGAAGACCATAAAGGGAGGAAACATCAGATATTCGCCCGAGCCAGCTAACCATGCTGGTCCTACATGGGCCAGCAAAAAAGCCAAGGGAAAATTTATATACCAAATCCTATATAAGGGGTCAGAGTCTAATCCGAAAGCCAGGCGGAACAGCTCCATCTTGCAGGCCCTGCAGAAAGATGTCAAATCTCGCAGGGCCCTAGTCTCTTGTGACAGAGCATTCCACCATGTTGGGGCCACTGCTGAAAAGGCCCTGGCTCTAGTTGAAACCAATCTAACCTCCTTGAGGCTTGGGACCTCCAAAGTGTTGTTATTTATGGACCTTAAATTCCTCCGCGGCACATACCAGGAGAGGCGGTCCCGTAGGTACGAGGGTCCTAGGCAGCGGAGTCCCCACTGTACTGGAATGTGTCCTGAGGAAGCTCATAGCTGAGAGTGATAATGAGACCACACATTTCTTTGTTTTAGGTATCTGAAAGGCTATCCCCCTTACTCCCCGTACATAGGAAGTTCTCCTACCTTCTGCCATTTGCTTCATGAAAAAGTGCCGTTTTGCTGCCTAAGGTTAGATAAGGTAAAGTTACGGTTTTGTGTAAAGTGTTTCCTGTGTGTTTATTTTGTGCACATGGCTGCATTTGTATCCTAGATAATTCAACCTTAAGTCCATAAGGCCTGTTACACAGTTTTGTTTGCATGGTTCATGGCTTGCCATGTAGAATCATGGTTGCCACGGCCCTGCACATATTAGTCTAGCACAGTGTTTCCCAAACCTGGGTCTCCAGCTGCTTTTTGGACTACAACTCCCATCATCGTTAGCTAGCAGGACCCAGTGGTCAGGGATGATGGGAGTTGTAGTCCAAAAACATCTGGAGACCCAAGTTTGGGAAACACTGGGTTAGCCCTACCCAGAGATGTTCTTCTGAAGGGGCAGAAGCTTCATACACTGTGAGAGTAGAGTTGCCATATAAGGCCATGTAACGTAGATGCAACCTTGAAATTGGGGTTAGGCTTCAGAGTCCTATGATTCTGTTGTGAGCAATGGGTTATTTCGAGAGGGGCAGGCAATGCAGAGCTAGGTTTCCTTCATAGACATGGAGGTAGCAAAACCTTTTGTCTGCATGTATGTCCAAGAAGATGAGAAACATACCTAGATCAGAAAGTACTTCCTTGATCGGATAGGGCAGGGTATATTTAACTGCCCTGTCTGGTTCCAGTCCAGTGCAAATATGAGACCAAACTTCTCATGTTCCACGTGTGAAATTGTCCATCATGCAACAGCAGCATGGAAATATGGGGAATGTTCATCTGTGTGGCCTGGGAAGAACTCAAAATCAAATTAACTATAAGTTCGTCTTATTATTTATCACATTTTAAACTGCTGTTCAGTCTATTTAGAATTTCCTCAGCAGCTTACAATATTTCCACAGCAGCTTACAATAATATTTTATTCTTTTTTCCATATAGAAAGTTACACTTGTTACTCAACAATTATATTCCGATTCAACAAAATGAGTGACTTCCTGATCACTCAACATTAATGTTTAGAACCCAAATTACATACAATTTTGTTTGAAGGTTCCATCTTATCCAAGTTCATCTTCTCTTACACGTTTCTTTATATTTTCTGCTATTTCCTTACACTTCAAACCCCCCTGTGGTCTTCACGAATGGGAAATAACTTTTTATATAGACTAAAAAAGGTTTCTGCTCTTCTTTGAAAGATAATAAATTTGTGTCTTTTATCAGCACTGTCTATTTTGCCGTCTCTGCATAGGTTTTCATCAACCATTCTCCCATTGAGGGTTATCTTACAATAATCTGAATAAATAACAATATTATTATTATTTCCATTTTTATAGTCTTGAGTTTGTTCAATATAGGTACTCTGTTGTGCATGCAACAATATTTCATGAAGTGGACAGGTCTTTAAATTCAACAAATTCATGTACCATCAAGTTACTATGTTGAGGATGAAGTCTTCTTGCAGTCTCTCCTGTAAACGGAGGCCATGGTGCCTGTTTTAACTTTCTGGTTTTAGGGATGCCAACATAATTACTACGAAGATGCCAAAGCCTACGGATTCAAAAACAAAATCATAATAGTGGCTGCAGAGACTGCTGGGAATGGTCTCTACAACTTTATCGTTCCTCTCAGGGCTTATTACAGACCAAAGAAAGAACTCAATCCAATAGTATTACTACTAGATAATCCGTAAGTGGATTTAAAATGCTGTTTTTATTATTATTAATATACTGATATGGGTTCATATTCAGGGCACGATTCGTTCTACATTATCCCTGGCTAATTCATTAAATGGGTGGTTTTCAACTGGAAGTATTATGGCATCAGTACCTTGAAGATGGTCAGCAGCAAGCGTTTATTCTATGCACCAACGGTGAAGTTCAGATATGACAGATTAAGGTGCAACTGCCTTGAAAATATGGCAAAATGAAATTTCAACATGGCTATCGCATGAGCTGTAGAAGGATCATCTGTACATATTAGCTTGCCATTCGTATTCCTGGGAATTGCAAAATGCTACATTTCATCTTGAAACAGTCCACCGCCACCCTTCACACAGACACATGCATACACTGTTTTGTGGGTTTGTTTGTTTGTTTGCACAAATTCAAGCTTTCAGCCCACTTTCAACTCAACCTCCACCAGATACCGAATTTTTTGCTCTATAAGACTCACTTTTTTCCCTCCTAAAAAGTAAGGGGAGATGTGTGTGCATCTTATGGAGCGAATGCAGGCTGTGCAGCTATCCCAGAAGCCAGAACAGCAAGAGGGATTGCTGCTTTCGCTGCGCAGAATATTTTTTTCTTGTTTTCCTCCTCTAAAAACTAGGTGTGTCTTATGGTCTGGTGCGTCTTATAGAGCGAAAAATGCAGTAACCTGTTTCTCACGTCCTGAACTTCTGCATAGGTACGGTTGCTACACAGGGAAGCATAGATTAGGGTTACCAGACCTCCTCGGTTCCCGGGGACAGTCCCCAGATTTGCAAATCTGTCCCCGGACAAATTCCGTCCCCAGATTTGCAAATCTATCCCTGGGAAACGTGGCAGTGGCAGCCTCAGCAGCCTGGAACCAGCCCGGTAGCACAGTTGGCTCTGGCTGGCTTCAGGAGCTTCTCGCTGCCGCCGCCACTGCTGAAGGGGAACCAGGGATGTCCAACAGTACAGATCTCCTGCCCCCTTCCCCCTTTGTTTTGACAGATCGGAGGAGGCTCGGGAATAACGGACAGGTGGGCGTTGCCCAGGAGGGGCGCAAGGCGCATGGTTTCTCTGCCAGGCAAGGTGTAAAGCCCTTCTTTTGCACCCTGTGAAACATAAATGCACAGAGTATTTTTAAAACCTGGGCAACAGCTGCCCGCCTGTGACTCGCAAGCCTCCCCTGATCAGTCAAAACGAGGAACAGGGCAGGAGATCGGGGGAGGCTCAGGAGTCACAGGCAGGCGGCTGTTGCCCAGTTTTTAAAAAACTGCACATTTATGTTTCACAAGGTGCAAAAGAAGGGCTTTGCACCTGTATACAATATGCATGTGTGCTTTGGGCCCAGGGTCTTTTGCCTCACCATCCCCACTACTGACTCCCTGTTGCTACTCAGCTTTTAAAAAAAAGTGTCCCCAGATTGATTGAAAAAAACCTGGTAACCGTAGCATAAATTGGAATGCATTTGCCCTGACAAAGGCTTAGCTAATAATAACAGGTCGCTTTTACGTTATTGCAAAGGGAAGCTTTTAGTATTTTAAACAAGAACACAAGAAGTATCCCAGTTAAGAGCAAGAACCCTGAACTGTCATGGTTCCCTTCCTTATGCCGTATAGTCTCATAATATCAGTCTTCACTAATGTAAGATCTTGAACCTATGATCAATAGTAGATCTCTTTCTAGCTCTTCCTTTCCGGGAATCATAATGTGTGAAATGTCTTTAAGATATTGTTTCAATGTCACCTCTGAAAATTTCACACTGAGCTGAAATTTGGAGTTTAAAACCACAGTGCCCTCTAGTGCTCGCACTACATCCTGTTTGTGAGGCTTATATTTTAAATATAACATTTTAAAAGTATTGTTTCCCCCCAGTATTCTGTAGCACACTTCCCTCTCCCTGTGTTGCCGTTTTTCAGTATATTGACAACAGCAACAAAAAGGGAATATTGACAAAATACGGTTCACAAATCTATTTATTTATATTTATACACAGTCCTTCTTCCCCATAGGAACACAGTTAAAACATAAAACCAAAACCATTCAGCAGCAAGCATCGAAAACTGTGCCATTTCACATGCCTCCTGAAAATGCATGTATGAAAGGTTTTGCTTGCACAAAGCGTTACTGATCCTTTAGCTCAGTGACTCCACAGTAATCCAACACTGAGTTAGATAGACTTAAATCCTATTGATTTCAGCAGGATTCTTGATGATGAAATTGTGCACAAAAATTTGGCCATTTTATATGAGATGATGGCTGGGTGACTGGGGAAACCCAGCCAGATGGGTGGGGTATAAATAAATTATTATTATTATTATTATTATTATTATTATTATTATTATTATTATTACCAATCTGCTGCTGCAGCATCTGGCAAGGTACTGATAGGCTGAAAAAGGATATGATCTGCCCTATGCACACTGTTGCGCCACCCACATGCAGCCCCATACTATTTGGGGCCACGTTGCAAGAAAGTGATTCCTACAGGGTGTGTGGGAAAGGTATCTGTCTTTATCAATACAGTGTTGTTAAGCATAGGGTTTATTCTGCCCTGTAAAGCGTCTGATTTCGACACTTTTGCTAGAAGTACTGATATGTATATAATCATATTTATTTGATAGTTTTCCCTAAATAAAAACCCTGTTACCTGGAGTTATAATGAGATAAACCTTTTGAATGAATAATAATAAAAAAGTATTCTTTGAGTTATCATAGTATTTCCAAATTGCATTTGCATTTGTTAGCATTTTAGTTCATGACTCTTTGTGACAATATGTTTCGCTTTGTGACCCATCTGCTGCTTAGGCCAGATATGCATTTTCTGGATGCAATCTGTTGGTTTCCAATGGTTTACTACATGGTGGGCTCTATTGACAAGTAGGTAAAACAAATCCTTGGAACACTCAATATTGTAGTGTGCTGTGCCGTGCTGTGTAATTGCATGTGTCCCTGTGTGGTGTCATAGTTCAAATGGTAGCATATTTGCATGCGTGTTTATCCTTCACCCTTCTGAACCACTGAGTTACTAGTTTACCCTTTAAAAAATAATAATCCTGTTTCTGAGACCCAGATTCCAGTTGCTTTGGAAGGGGCTCTATTGTTGGGGACAGTATTTCTGCAAGTCTAAGTAACCATGACTCACTTTCAAGTCACTGGGACACCTACAATACTGTCTGTCTTGCTCTCCAGAGACTCAAAAAGCTTGTGGGGAATTCAAGGTCAATCCATTATGACATGAAGGATTTAGGCAGATTCACAGGAGTGGTTTAGACATTTGGCAAGAATGCAGCGTGATATGGGACTTGGAGAGCTAGAGCTATACTGTTTCTGAGTTTATTTCTCTCCAACACACACACACTTTGTGGCTAGTCTAATAATTACAGTACCTTGCAATTATTGCGCTATGTGCTGCTGTGACTTCTTGTTTAAAACTTGTCCTTGTTTTAGAACTGGGTACATCCAATGAAAAGACTTGTTTCCATTTGCACTTATGCCACAAAAAGGGAGCTAGACAGTCTTTACAAACTGACCTTGCATTTTTTTAAAAAAACCGTTTTCATTTGTTTTTACAAATATAAATTTATTAGAATCCAAATGTATATCCATATGCAGAGATTACTCTGAATCTTGAGACTTCCCCCATCCCCTCCATGGGTATCATTGTCGACATTTAGAACTGCATATTATTCCATAATCTATATTTTATATCCAACCATAATTTCCATAGTATTTGTTTCATTACAAGTGAGATTAAAATCCTGCTAATGTTTTCATCTGCTTGCAGTGGTTTCTTAAATTTTTCCCATTGTTTTGTAAAGTTTTTGTCCTCTTGGTTCCTGAGCTTTCCAGTCAGCTTTGCCATTTCAGTGTTGTCCATAAACTTGGTTTGCCAATCTTCTCTGATAGGGACTCTTTCTTCTTTCCATCTCTGGGCTAATAGCATTTGAGCAGCTGTTGTCACATACATAGAGTCTTTTCTGTTCCTTTGGAATATCGGTACCTATAATTCCTAATAGAAAGGCTTCTGGTTTTTTAACAAAAGTTATTTTAAACATTTTTTTCATTTCATTATATATCACTTCCCAGAAAGCTTTTACTACCTTACACAACCACCACTTATGATAAAAGGTACCTTCGCAAATTTACCTTGCATTTTTGTCCAAGCCAGTTTTTGTTTGGAACTGGGATTAGATTCTTTTACTTCTGCTTGTCAAGAGCTTTTTGGTGTGCTATCAAATGCCCCCTTGCCATTTTATCTGTTCATCAACTTACAATCAGGGCTTGTGATCCCCTCTTACATTGCTGTGGGCTCCTGTGGGCTTACATGCTGGTGAACCACAGAGGCATGCCCATAAGCAGAGGGGCAGTTTGGGGCTGCTATTTACATTTCCCAAAATGCTTTGTAGAACCCCTGACATGCCACTACTTTGAAGCACTGTGGGAAGTTTAAATTTGTCGCCATTTAAATTCCCCAGAGGGAAATGTTACATGACAGCTGCAGGCTATCCTTTAGTTCCAAGTTGGAAGTTTCCCCAAACTCTTTCTGTGGATTAGTACAGAAGATGCAAATTTCCCTGGATACATGAAAACAGCCTTTGGAATTTTTGAAGAGCTCTGTCTTAGTTGTTATTGGCAACAATGGCTGATTTTTTTAAAAACAAACAAACAAGAAACACACTTAAGATTGGTGTATAATTCAGCAGCAGATTGTTGCTGCCATGTATAAAATCGTAATCTGAACAATTAGGTTTGATATGATGGGAATAAGCTATTTTTGTATGAATTTTCAACATCTCCCTGTTTCTTCTTCACTCTGCTTTCCCAATCAAACTTTCTCATCCTCTCCTCTGAAGCTGCCTCCCCACCCATAAAATCTACACCCTGTGGAGAAAATGTGTTTTTTGAGGGGTGAGAGGAAAAGCAGGGAATTCCCATTGCATTAGCAGAACTCTGCACACACAGTGTGCAGGGATACTGGGATAACACAGTGTGCAGGGATACTGGGATAACACAGTGTGCAGGGATACTGGGATACAACCCAGTATTTTTGTAGGCTGCCATATATATTGAATATTTTTGTTTAAATATCAGTGTTTCCTGATCATCTTGAGTTAGGTCCAGATTAAGTAACTTGTACACAGTTCCCAATACTTGTCTCATTGTTTTTGTGTGATCTAAGTTCAGCTAACTTAGCACAACTTAGCGGAGCCAGCCCTTGCTGTTTATTTGGGCAAAACCTGCTGATACATTAAACTTCTCTTCCTTCTGGCACAATGTGGATTCTTAGTTAATTGGAAAACTTAAAATACACTGGAGAAAACAGGTTGTATGTTGTAGTTATGGCATCTTCTGCTGGGTTTTAAAGCTGGAAGTTATATCTGAATTTAGTAAAGCAACATGAATCAAAAGACCCTTTTGTGAGAAGTACAAAGGTTTTTGGCCACTGCGGCATAACTTATCAATGAATCCCGTCTAGACCACCTTCTCTCCTGTTATTTCTCATTTCCAGTTATTAAAAGTTAATAGCCTGGCAAAAATACAAAAGAATGCTATAAAATTATAATGAGTTGGGAGGAAATTGTGGTAATTTGGCATCTTAATGCTTATCTGTTCAAATGATATTAAGACTGCATGTCTAATTTCATCTGTTAATAATTTATGTAGCAGATCATTATGTTTGCACTGTGGTCTAATACACTTGAAATCAAAGTAGTCTCAACTCCTGTTAGCTGCCTCAGTAAGCCTATATCCTGACTGGAAATACACACACGTGGGGAATACCAGTGTTTTCAGACCCTTCTAGCCCTTAGTATATTTATGCACCCATTCCTTTGATGAAGAATCCCTGAAGATTCCAGAGGATTCTGGGACTCTTTCTAAGTAGGCATTCTCAGTTCATTCATTGTCGAGCCTCACCATTGCCCCTCGTGAGTTAGGAGCATCGTGCTAATGGATCACAACCCTCCATGCCCTAGTTTCACCCACTTTTGAAACATTTTCTGTAACTTGACGAGCTGTCATCTGAACGTACATTGAAGAATACCTACAACGCCCATTCACGATGCTGAAATCACAGTCAATCTGAATTTACCATAGACAGAATGTCAATCTTTTGAATCTGTGTTCAAGCACATTATGGTTGTTTTTCCAAGTCAACAGGAATGTCTAATTTATTTAGTGAAGAGTTCATTTCCTAGTCTTTGCATTCTCAATCCCCTGACTATACAAGACAACCTACATGTTGTATGTGACGGGGGGGATAGAATATGTGAACTTGCCTGTAAATATTGCAGTATTGGAGACTCAAGCTACAAATGATGTAAATGTGTTTTCCTGGGATGTGGGTTGCTTTTTTCTTTTTTCTTTGTTTTGTTTCACCCAGAGGAGCTAAATCAACTGCAATTAGTAATGCACAAATTTGTCAATTTTCGTTACCTTACATTTCTGAATCTTATATTCTGTTTGCCATGTACCTGCATCTGCTTGTTACACAGATTTCTCCTCATGGACGCAGTTTAACGTAATTTTGCCATGCAGACGTGTTTTTGAAAGCATCTCCCTTTACTATAATGCATTGCTGTACATTATTTTTTTGCTTGCTAAGATGTGCATTTTTCTGCATGATTCCCCTAAATATATATCTGGTTTGATAACTTCATTACAAAATTCAGATAAGTGTGAATTTTGAAAGACAGCAGCTTATGCTTGGCGTTTTATTTCCAGAAATTCCATTTAGGCAGCTACTGAACTTAATTGCTTGTCTCTAGCTAGAATCTGGATTAGAAGTTTCCTCCACCCACAGTAAAAGGGGTGGGGTTTTGATAAGACAAATGACCTGAAGTGAACGGGGGAGTTCTCTCTTGTGCAAAATTCTGAACTAAACGACAGTTTTGTTTAGCTGCTACACACACACATACACACACACCGCTTGGAAAAAACATTCAGACAGCTTAGTGTCTTTGGGAGCTGACTCTTAGACCATCATGTTTACCTCAATATTAATTTAGTATGCCCCATCCACAGGGCTCTCTTTCTGTTTTTGCATGCTTGCATCAGCATCAAAAGTGTTTCTTTGTGTTTCCAAAGCAACATCCATATCTGTTACATTCCCCCATAGAGTGGTGTGGGGATGCTTTCAATGGACCTTCTTGCAATTTGAGAACGACAGTTTGAAGTGCTAGAGCTAGCGTAGAGTGGTGGTTAAGAGCGGTGGACTCATAATCTGGTGAACCGGGTTCGATTCCCCGCTTCTCCACATGCAGCTGCTGGGTGACCTTGGGCCAGTTTGTTGTGGGGGAGGAAGAGAAAGGAGATTGTTAGCCTCTTTGAGACTCCTTAGGGTAGTGATAAAGCGGGATATCAAATCCAAACTCCTCTTCTCCTGCTGCTTTCTTAATTATTGCTACTGTGGCATGACTGCCAGTCGTGGAAAGCTGCAGGTGTCAACTGTCTGAATGTAGTTTCCCACACCATATGGAAACAAACCCAGTTTGTTTTAACCTTAGTGTACATTCAACAGACAGCCTCTGCCTTGCTGTCTCTCTGACAAGCCTTCATGTATGATAAATGCCTGCAAATGTATTTGTTATGTTCACACTTTATATCAGGCACCCCCAAACTTGGCCCCCCAGATGTTTGGGGACTACAACTCCAACCATCCCTGACTACTGGTCCTGTTAGCTAGGGATGATGGGAGTCGTAGTCCCCAAACATCTGGCCGAGTTTGGGGGTGCCTGCTTTTCGTGTTCTCCCAAAACTTACAGGGCATGCAATTAATGAACTTCATTTGTGCAAAGCAATCCTTCCATGGAACAATCTTCTTGGTGAATTGAACAAGGCAAGGAGGAGACAGTGAGGGCTTGTGTAATGTCAAGCAGTGCCAAACTTTGTCTCACATCTTAGAAGCAAATTAAATGCTTTCACACACTGGGAAACCATTGCAGGGAATAATGTCATCATGTTGTGTTTCCGGAAGAATGCAGTTTCATGAGAAGCCTTTGGAAATGAAATATGATTATTTGAAATGCCATCTTAATGCAACTCAAGCAATAGTTTTACCAACATTTTTTTAAAACGGAAGGCTTGCGCCTGCCATCCTTCCTAGCATGCTATGTAATTACTTCCTACCAACTATCCAATATGGTATGTCTGGTTTATTCATTTTTTTTTAATTGACCTTTACTTTTTTAGTTAGAAATAGTGTCCCAAAAGATAGTAATCAGCCAAGGGAAATTAATCATGCTGTGGGTCAGTACATATGCAATGCCTAATTAACCACAGTTTAATAAGTTGGATGCCAGACTCAGAAAGATTGTTTCTTTCCCACTCCATGAAGCAAACATTTCTCTGTGGTTAAGCAGTATATTGGCAGTGACATTGGCTGTTGAAATCTGAAACTGGGTTTTAATGTGGGTTTCAGATACTGGTTTAAAGCGAGCTTTATTTGTGCTGTTCACATACGCAAGCACATTAAGCAAATCACAATTGTCATCCACAAGTTAGAGGGTGAAGTCTAAAGGTGATGGAGCTTCCTCTACTCAAGGATTTCTACTCATTTCATATATTAGGCTTATTAGTCACTTGTCATGCAAAAGTCTCCAATGGAAGAGTAGGAAGAAGAAGAGGAGAAGAAGAAGAAGAAGAAGAAGAAGAAGAAGAAGAAGAAGAAGAAGTAGTGCAATATATATTACCATGGGGGGGGGGAGTGGGAGAAATAAGACAATACATTTATATTTTATATAATATAACATTCATTTTCATAACATTTCCCCCCACTTTAAACTCCCCACCCCACTCAGATGTCTGGTGTCAAGGCCAGCTGTTGCAAATCTGGGGTGGGTTGGTCCAGTGTCTTCCAGGGATGGTCCACCATCTCTCCTCTCACTTCAGGGGGCAGTAGTAGCAAAACAAAGCAGAAAGATGATAATGAAAGCACAACTTAGTACCCTGAAATATTGGGGTTATAAATCATGATGGGAGCCTCCAGGAGGAGAGGAGCCCCCCATTGTAAACCACCTTCCAAAGTGTAGAAGGCAATTGAACTATCAACACAAGGGGCAGAGCTTCCTGTGTTCCCTTGTGCTTGTGCGTAAGATTTCCATGCAATCAGGCACACTCAAACAGGTCTTGAGTCAGCTTCTCTGACCTATCAAAGCTGCTATCAAAGTCAACCATTATTAAAAGTGTGAGTGGGTGGGATTTCTCTTGCAAGGCTGGGGCTGCAGGAAACGAATGAACATTCCTGTGGCTGGCTCTTGATTAGTTCATCAAAGTTAAAACAGAACCAGATTTATCTGTGCATTGATCTTCTGAGGAGCTGAGTCATGCCACATGACCATTGGGCCCATAGTAACCATCTGAAAACTAGTTGAAATAAATGTCATATATTGGCTTTCTGCTTCCCTATTGCATATAAGGAGCCGCCAGAACAGCAAATGTTTGGTGGTGGTTGTTTTTTTGCATGCTAAGGTGCAACAAAGGTTGAGTTCAATGACTTCCAGGGCAATCAGCTCACCACAGGTTGTAAATTGACCTCCAGGGTTCCAAATTCCTAAATATTGTAAAGGTTGCTTACAATATGTGGCTAATTTTATGACGAGCCATATGTTTTTAACATTGCCTAACGTTTTGCCCTGTTTTCAAAAGCCTAGATGATTTGCTAAGGTGTGGTGTGACCTTTGCGGCAAACGTGGTCGTGGTGGATAAGGAAAGCACCATGAGTGCTGAAGAGGACTATATGGCAGATGCTAAAACTATTGTAAATGTACAAACCCTCTTTAGGTAAGTGGCAGTACTTTTGTACCTTTGTTGCATATGGTATATTCTTGTTATGGTGAAGATTGCTAAGTGGAATGCACCTAGGGCAACCCCCCCCAAAAAAAACTGACTACCCCACCCCCTAGATATGGCTTTGTTTAAATGTATGGTGTGAGTGTGACTTTACAAAATTTAAGAACAACCTGTTTGTTAAAACCAAACCAAACCAAACCCCATGTGATCGATTAGGTGGGGCAGGGCTGACTTGGGCCCCCACAATATTTTATTCAAGTTGACACTCCTGGTTGGCACATACAGTATGATTAAGTCTGAAACTTCATGGCAAGTTAAATCTGCTTCAGCTCTTTCACCAATGGGTCCCAGAAGGTTCAGTTAAAATCTGGTTTTTTGGGGTGGGTGGGTCAAGTATAGGTTTGAGGTTGCATCCCCACAGCTAACATTTGGCGTCAAGCAGTACGAATAAGGCCTGCACTTTCTCTCATCTTGCTTATCATAGATACTTCTTCTCCGCTGAATACATACTACTAAGACTCAACTGCTTGCTACAATTTGTGGCAGCTGCTAGAATACAGTAACCCGTTACTGAGTGTTGTATTTACTACCATGTGTAATTAACCACTTGGTAATCTTGGATGAATAAACTGCAGCAATACAGATGGCCATTGCTGGTTTTTCAATGGTAGCTGTTGTTTTGAACTATTCCTTGGTGAGTAGTTCTCTTGCTATGAAATGAAGTTCTTCTCCTACCTACCCCAACGTTCATAGCTAGTGTCAGTCCTTCCTGATTCCCTCTTCTTTTTTAAAAAAGAAGAAGCTAGAAGTTATAGAAAAAGGTTGTGTTGGTTTAAGGAGTAGCTCTTGAGCAGTAGCTCTCTGCTTCTGTGTGTAAACTAAGAGATTGCTAGTAGGGTAGAAAACCTATGCGTGCACAACTATAAGATCACAGGCTTCCATTACCAATGTTTCGCTGAACATGCAGACTTCAGGGGCGAGACCAATGGGAAGAGTCCCGCTTGACATTTCAAAGATTAGGTATACACTTGGGAGCAGTGTCAGAAAGCGTTTGATGCCATTTTATACAGACCAGTACACTACTGTTTAGTAGTACATATAATCTGTATTCACCTTCTCTTCTTTGGTCTGATATGGCCCTTTCTGTTTCTAGCCACATTTTCTTGGAGCCTAATTCTGTAGTTTCAGGATGACTTCGCTTCCACTTGAAGGTACCCAATACTGAGTTGAAACCATTGGCCCACTGAGCCCAATGCTGTCTACCCATTCTGGCTTAAACGATTCTCTTTAGCTAGAGGCACTGGGAATGAAACTTGGAACTTCTGCATGAAAAGTCATTAGCTCTTCCACTGAGTAAATTTTCTCTGCCTTTACGATTCATTCACATTTTCTGCATGTGAATCTGCTCGTAGTTTGCTACCTTACACCATTTATTTTAATGGTAGATTAATAGACTAGATGGCAGTGGATTTAAAAAAACCAAAAAAACCCTCCTTCGGGCACCGTTTTTTCTTATAGTCCTGCTGTCATCTGTACCCTGAAGATTAACCATGATGAAATTGCTTGCCAATATTGCCATTATTGGACCCATAATTATTTCATCACAATTTTTTTTGTGCTCAAGGAACAAATGTCTCCAAGCTGTTAATTTGCAGTAATCCACAGCTGGGTTGCCCTTTCTTAAACAAACAAACAAACAAAAAATCACTAACCATGAGAGGAAAATTCAGGAGAATCAGATGAAATCTAAAGTAAAGCTTGCTTTCAAGATCCAGAAAAGATACTGGTATAGCCAAGAAAAATTAGACACACTTAACTGAAATACATTTTCCAGTTTAGTTATAGCTTGCAATAGGAATTATTTGCTATCTCCTGCTAGTTCATGCTTGTGTGTAACATATAATCACTAGATGGCAGCCTTCTCCCGTATCTGAAATTTAGGAGAATATATATATATATATATGGATATGGATATATGATTTAAACAAAATGTTTAGTTTGACTTAGTAAATCAAACAGCTACTCTATGTTTAAAAAGAAATACCAGTAATTTTGTAGCAGCAATGTGAGGATCTAGAAAACACATTTTTGGAAAATGGAGAAAAAGTTTTAATGTTGTCGTGTTTAGTGTGTGAAGGTGCAACGTAACTTTTTATGTTTTACTTATTACAAAGATCTAGTCACGGCCATGAATGGGGAAATTAAACATGTGGCATGCTTGTTTTAATCTAGTGTAGATCATTGACAGATAGCAGCCCCATTTTGCCACTCCATTTGCAGGTAACCAATGGAGGCATTTTTCCTCATGCTGTTTTAGGGACCACAGTTTGACATCCGAACATTTCATACCACAGGAGCAGGGAGGACAGCTTAGTTTTTTCCTTTTAACTTTTAAATGCGGCCTATCCTGAAGACAGCTTCAGTATGGCAGCAACAGCAGTAGAGCTGGGGCTGCCTGTCCCATCTCAAAATGTCACTGTGAAGGGCACTAGCATGCTTATTGTAATGCCCACCCTACTGGTCTATTTGTGGGATGCGGGTGGTGCTGTGCTCTAAACCACTGAGCCTCTTTAGCTTGCTGATCAGAAGGTTGACAGTTTGAATCCCTGTGATAGGGTGAGCTCCCGTTGCTCTGTCCCAGCTCCTGCCAACCTAGCAGTTCAAAAGCACGCCAGTGCAAGTAGATAAATAGGTACCGCTGCGGCGGGAAGGTAAATGGCATTTCCATGTGCTCTGGTTTCTGTTGCAGTGTTTCGTTGCACCAGAAGCAGTTTAGTTATGCTGGCCACATGACCTGGAAAGCTGTCTGTGGATAAATGCAGGCTCCCTCAGCCTGAAAGCGAGATGAGTGCCACAACCCCATCGTCCCCTTTGACTGGACTTAACCGTCCAGGGGTCCTTTACCTTTACTTGTCTCCATTTTGGGTTTTGTCCATATTGCACCCACCCAACTTTGATGAATCCAAATATGAGAGAAAGACTTGTATATGATTGCTTTTGGTTGCAATCCTATACACACTTAACAGGAAAGAAATCCCACTGAACTCATTAGGGCTTACTTCTGAGTATAGTGGTACCTTGGGTTAAGAACTTTATTCGTTCTGGAGGTCCGTTCTTAGCCTGAAACTGTTCTTAACCTGAGGTACCACTTTAGCTAATGGGGCCTCCCGCTGCTGCCGCGCGATTTCTGTTCTCATCCTGAAGCAAAGTTCTTAACCCGAGGTACTATTCCTGGGTTAGCGAAGTTTGTAACGTGAAGCGTCTGTAACCTGAAGCATCTGTAATCTGAGGTACCACTATAGTGTTCAACACAATCCTATACACATGTCTATTTGGTAATAAGCCCCACCAAGTTCCATGGAACTCCCTCCTAAAGTTTGTATATGATTGTGTAAGACCTGTGATTGGCTTTGGTAATGGACTGAATGAGACCCCAGAAAGTGAAGCTTAATCCATATAAGACTGAGAAACTGTTAGTGGGCGGTTCCCTAGGAGGTGGCCTGCTCTGGGTGAGGATATGTTTCCTCTGAAGGAGCAGGCATATAGCGGGACGCAGGTGGCGCTGTGGGTAAAAACCTCAGCGCCTAGGGCTTGCCGATCGAAAGGTCGGCGGTTCGAATCCCTGTGGCGGGGTGCGCTCCTGTTGTTCGGTCCCAGCGCCTGCCAACCTAGCAGTTCGAAAGCACCCCCGGGTGCAAGTAGATAAATAGGGACCGCTTACTAGCGGGAAGGTAAACGGCATTTCCGTGTGCGGCTCTGGCTCGCCAAATGCAGCTTGTCACGCTGGCCACGTGACCCGGAAGTGTCTCCGGACAGCGCTGGCCCCCGGCCTCTTGAGTGAGATGGGCGCACAACCCTAGAGTCTGTCAAGACTGGCCCGTACGGGCAGGGGTACCTTTACCTTTACCTAATTCTGATGTTGCTTGAGGATCCAGTGACCTTGATGGTGTGGAGTTCCTTCCATCAGCTTTGACTGGTGGTCCAGCTACACCCCTACCTGGGCAGGAACAGCCTAAACTCTGTTGTCTAGGTTGTGAGTCAAGGCCCTGCCCCTGCTTGGAGATATAATAATACACATGGACACAAGCTCTTAGGTTAATGGGCTAGGAAGGCCACAACTTTATTGGTTACAGAATGTGAGTGGTATTGGCTTAGGCATTGGATCGGACAGACTATACTTGACGCCTGCCCGCTCTGCTGGGAGTCACACAAGGGTTAACAACCAGTAGGGGGAGCTTGTTGATGCAAATCATCTGGAAGCTTTCCCCTAGAGTCACTGGGGGTCGAGCCATGGCCCTAGCCACCACCAGGGCATCAGACAGGAACCACGACCACCAAATTCCTTTAACAGAGTACCCTTCAAGGGGAGGGGAGGTGATGGCCACAACCTCCCCTCCGACACACAACGCGTTTTCCAATGCCTAACGGCCAAACCTTACAAAGTTGTGATGATTTGCTACGAGGTAGGTGAAAATCCAAGTGGTTGGTGCCAATCTGCCAAGTGGAAAAAAATTCCTACCAGGCCCCCTGGACAACCAAGGCGGGCAACCGAAGTCCATAGCAAGGTCAAGAAACGAAGGAAGAAACCTAAGGGAGGGTGGGTGGGTGATTTGAGGAAGCCAGGAACAAGAAGAGAGAGTCTATGTGCCCACGGTCGTTCAAATACAGCTAAGCTATGCCCCCACCCAGCCGTATAGGCTGGCTGGTGAGCGTGACACAGGCACAGGACACAGTGATGCAGGGGGCTGAGTTACGCCCCCTGCGAGCGCGGGAGGCGGTTCCCGCTCACAACACACACCCCCCTCCGTGAAGAGGAGAGGCCCTGTGGGAACCTCTATACTTGACTACTGCAATGCATTGTGCATTGAGCTGCCTTTTAATACAGTTTGGATACTGTAGCTGGTACAGAATTTGGAGCTCAGGTCAGGACAGTCTGAACAATTTAAAATGCTAGTTTTTGACCTCTGCAGCCTTATGCAGCTCAGAACTCCAATAGCTCAAGGACTGGCCCTCCCCACAAGAACCAACCCAGACCCTGCCACCACCATTTGGCCCCTCCAAGGGAGGTTCAGAGGGTGGCAACATAAGATCCGACCTTTTCAGTGATGTCTTCTCTCTACTTGTGGAATGCTTTCCCAAAGCACACATGCTTGACACCATCTTTATCTAATTGTAGGTGTCAGGCAAATACTTCTCTCTTTACTCATTTGTCGCTTAATTTGAAGGGTGGCATTGTGACCTGGGAGTAAGGTGGGATCAGTAAGTCTGTTTTATAGGTTTATCTGTTTTGTTTTGTTTTTTTTAGATATTTATTGAAAGTTCTTAACTGGTTTTACCGTAAGTTGCTGTGGGTTCCTCTATGAGAAAAGCAGCTAACAAACTTAAGAACGAAAGGGAAAAAGAGAGGATTGCATTCCACATGTAGTTAACTGGTCTAAAAGGTTATTATCTGAAAGTGAGAGAGAATTTGTTTTAATGAATAAATAAATAATACACCAAATAGGCCAGGCAGCTTCCAGTATATCCACATGAGAGCCAGCATCTACAGCAAGACAAATTACTCAAAGCCAAGGGGACTGTTTTGTAGCTACTGAATACTTAATTGCTTCATAGCACTTGTTTTAAATATTCCACACTTAGCAAATATATGAAATGTTATCTTTACAGTGAATTAGATTGCTGGGCACTTACAGAACCCCAGACTCATGAAAATATACCCTGTAACTTTTGAAATGGATACAGCCAGTGCTTTTTTTCTAAAACAAATGGGGCCAAGCTTAGATTCACAAAATGTTTAGGGGTATGTGTACCCCTGCGTCCCCCCCAGAAAAAAGCACTGGATACAGCTGACAACTTCACCATTGTGGGATGGGTTTTAGTAGGTAGGAGAGGATAGATTAACTGCAATTTAACCCTCCATTGAGTTATAGTGTGGGTTGAACAGGTTCCATCCCTCGCAGCAAAACTACAGCACATAGGAATGTGTTGTGAAGCTTGTGTGTGTGTTGTGACTTAAGCTACCCTAGCTTTACAAAGCCAGTCTTTCCCAAATTCTCAAATGGGTGGTGATATGGTACAATTTCCTATGTGGTATTTAAACCATTTCAAATTACTAATTCCAGAGCATTTAACAATTTCGAAAATCAAAATGGCTACTGTTTTAATGGCAAGAAACTCACCCTAATCATTATTTAGTAGAATGCTATCCAAATCCTCATATGTCCATTTAAGTCAATATTTCTTAGAATTAGGTATGTTCCTAAACCACACCAGCATTCTGTCTGCTTTCCTTTTCCAAAAGAATATAATTGTGTGCTTTTTCCTGCTGATTTCAGTTTTAAGAAAGCAATAAAAATGTTAGTTTTGTTTTGTGACTAGCTCAGTTGATGCCTTTGGGGTTTCCTGACAGGCTGGAATGGAGCCATCATTTTATTCATCGTACATGAATCATGAGTGTAATTTATATTTCCAACACAGCTATATTTTTACATATTGGAAAAGTTATTTCTTTTATAGGCAGTAAAGGCTACATAACCATTTCAATGGTTTATCCAGGTTTTCTTCCTTTTCTGCAGAACTGTCTCATTTCTGAGAATAGATTATCAAACACAGCTCAAATAATTACTGTTCAATGCCTTCTCTGTCATATTAAATGTTATACAAGCCACCCTTCTAAAAGTAATATGCTGATTTTCTCTGAATCTGTGAAGCACATTAGTGCTTTTAGAGGGACATGTTTGCCTCTGCCAAAAGTTGTTATTTCCTTGTAACTAATTATGATTTTGGAGCTACAAGTAATTAGTTTTTGTATATGTTGTCATGTTTTATCTTATCCAGTTGATGTTACTGCAGGAATAACTTATATTATCTCCTTGTAAAAACATTTAGGTTGTTCTCTAGCCTAAGCATAATAACTGAATTAACTCACCCAGCCAACATGAGATTCATGCAATTCAGGGCCAAAGACTGCTACTCTCTTGCTCTGTCAAAACTGGAGAAGGTAAGAAAAATATATATCTATATTGAGTTATAATTAAAATACATTATTTAATGTCTTTTAAAAAGAGCTAAGATAAATAATTTTCCAGTTGTTGTTTTTTAAAAAAATGATATTGCACAGAACTGCAAACCTTACCATCATAACCACCAAAGTAATTGTGAGAATATTAATATAAACCATTGTCAGTAGTGCAAATGCATGATTTCATTTATCACACATTAACTTTTGCAAATGCTCACAAAATTTCCCAGTTTCTAAGAGTGGAAATTTTTAACGTGAAATTCAGAAGACAAATAATGGATGTGAAATGTTTTGTCTTGAAATTCAGATTTGAATGTTTTAGGCTTATTGCCATTCTTGATTTTTTAAAAAAGAGTTTGGCAGGCTTCAACTACCACATGAATTTTGTCAGTGGTCAAATGTTAATTTCCATCACATACTGCCTGTCAAGTGTTGCCAGATTTAGAAACAAAAAAACATTACTTGCCAGCATCACATACTTTCCACTATTGTAACCTGTTCATGCAATATATTCAAAATGGAACTCAGCACCCTGGCAGGGTTTTGTGGGGAGTGGGGAGAATGTGTATGCTAAAATTCTCTGGTTTTTAATACTTCAGGTCCTGATTTTCCAAACTGGAAAGTAATCAACAAGTGTTTTAAGCAGCCTATTTAATTGCAAGAGCAAACAATAACGGGCAGTGGAATAATTTTAGCACAGCAGTTCTAAACTGATGTATCAAGTATTAAGTCAATTATTTGTGGAAATTATTGAAGCTAATATATGCATTTTTAATATATGTGCATTCTTTTGGATAAGAGGGCCAATGCTAATTTTGTTCTGAGTTCAAATGTAGCATGCTATCAGAAGACGCTCTTCATAATTGCCTTCATTCTGTTTGCTCTCTGTTTAAAATGTCCTTATATACAATTTCATTCATTAGCTATCTCCTAAGAGCCCATTTTTATGGAGTGCAAATATATGCAAGCCATCTATAAGCTATAAGAAAACTTAAACTTATGTTAAATTAGATGTGCATGCTTGAGTGTGTTTACATTTGTGCACTGAATGGCTGAGAAGTGCCAGGGACTTGGCAATTAGTTTTGAAGCTTGATGAGCGAGAGCATGGCAAGAACTGCAACATTCTCGGGAGTGGTAAAATATATTTACCTTTTTCATGTAATATTTTCAGTAATATTTCCATGCGATATATTTCCCATGTAATGACTGCTCCCCACATCAAATGGCCTCTTGCGTGGTCATATGCAGCCCCCCGAATCCCAGTGCGGCTCCCGGTAGTACGGGCTGGCTTCGCCCTCCCCAGGCTGGATACCAGGCAATGTCTCCACAGGCAATGTCTCCACAGGTGGGATTGGGTGATTGGCTGAGGTAGGCCAATCTGGCGAGCCAGCGCAGCACACGGAAATGTCGTTTACCTTCCCGCCAGTAAGCGGTCCCTATTTATCTACTTGCACCTGGGGGTGCTTTCGAACTGCTAGGTTGGCAGGCGCTGGGACCGAGCAACGGGAGCGCACCCTGCCGCGGGGATTCGAACCGCCGACCTTTTGATCGGCAAGCCCTAGGCGCTGAGGCTTTTACCCACAGCGCCACCCGCGTCCCTAAGTGGAGACATTAGGTGAAATAAATAAGCTTCTTTATCATGTGAGGAAAGTCGCTGCAGTTAGTTCTCCCTTCCATTCGTTTCACCTTTACCAGTCACCACAGCGCATTTTGTTGCAGGTGTAGCTGTAGTTCATTAAGCTTCAGAGAACTCCCTTAGGCAAAATGAAATGCAATTAAAATTTGAGAGGAAATTGTCTTATGTGGTCCATTGTACAGCTGATTGTTAATTCCTCTGCTATGCTCCCCCCTTTACAAAGGGACTCTAAAAATGAGGCAGTTGCCTGCAGCTAAAGCGTACAAACATACATGGAAAATTGACTTCGTGGCTTAATGGGTTTCTGAAGCAAGAAATCCCTGAGTCATAGGAGAACTCCATCTGCTGCTACAGCTGCAACTTCCCTTGTTTTTCCTCTTTGGAAATAGCTAAGCAATCACAGTTGGCATCTGAACAAGCAAGAGCCTTTTGCTCAGCAGAAAAATGTGAAGATGAAAAACACGGCAACCATATGCCGAAGTCAAACTCTATCCATTCTGGTTTCTCCATGAAAATTAAAACTCAAGAAAGCCTCCATACAGCATCCTAATAGCTAGGAAATGTTTTGCAATTAAGGAGTAGGGAAATTGGCTGTCTAAGCATGCATTCATTGCTTTCACTGAAGACTGGGTGCAATATTTGCATAATGAAGCTTCTTAAATCCATTCTCTTTAGTGTAATTTAAATCAGGAGTGGGGAACCTTAGGGTTTTGAGGGACTCCAACTACCACCAGTCCCACCTAACATGGCCAAAGGTTAGGGACAGAGGGAGCTATAAGTCCAAAAAACATCTGGAGGGCCACAGGTTGCCCATCCCTGATTTAAGTAATCTAAGACCTAGTTCAGAATCACAACTCTTGGTTACTATACACTAGATGATCAGCACTTGTATACTGTATGAAAACTGACTCCATTGAGACGTGAGGTTCTGTCTCTGTTGTAACGTCTGTGCTGTTTTGTGGAGTCATGTGAGTCATTCCTTGATTTTGCAGTCATCAAGTGAAGAGCACATATCTATGAATCAACTTTTAACTGCTTGCAGGATTGCAGCCACTGTCCTTATGCTTACATTGTTGTTGTTGTTGTTGTTGTTGTTTAGCCGTTTAGTCGTGTCCGACTCTTCGTGACCCCATGGACCAGAGCACGCCAGGCACTCCTGTCTTCCACTGCCTCCCGCAGTTTGGTCAAACTCATGCTGGTAGCTTCGAGAACACTATCCAACCATCTCGTCCTCTGTCGGCCCCTTCTCCTTGTGCCCTCCATCTTCCCCAGCATCAGGGTCTTTTCCAGGGAGTCTTCTTGTCTCATGAGGTGGCCAAAGTATTGGAGCCTCAGCTTCAGGATCTGTCCTTCCAGTGAGCACTCAGGGCTGATACCCTCCAACATTTCTCCGATGAAGATAAGGATGTCCTGTTCCACAATAATAATAACAACAGCAGCAGCAGCAGCAGCAGCAGCAACTATTTTATTATTTGTACCCCACCCATCTGACTGGGTTGCGCCAGCCACTCTGGGTGGCTTCCAACATATATAAAAATATAAAACATTTTTTTAAAAATCCCTATGTAGGGCTGCCTTCAGATGTCTTCTAAAGGTTGCATAGTTACTTATCTCTTTGGTTCAGGGGTGGCATAACTCCATGCCTTCCAACATTTCTCTGATGAAAATTATGGGATCAAGTCAGAAACTGGGACGGCTTCTGTAAATCCAGGACTGTCCCTGGAAAATAGGCACACTTGGAGGGTCTGTGCTTACATTTTAGAATTCTTTCTGTCATAGTTAAGAACCCTTTATCTGAATGTGAATATCTTCTGGTTTCATTTTGTAATGTCACTCTCTTCCAATATAAAATCACACACATATGTATATTGATCCAGTCCTTCTTGTGCAAAGCACTCACCCAGGGAGGGACCACAGAGGCTGGTTTTCTCCTCTCCCCCTCAGCATACATCCATGGGCATCCTGTGTGCTAGGTGGTTACAGGAAATGGGAGACCCTAACCACCACTATTATTTTGTTGTGGTCAAATAACATGAACTCAATGGGATGTGGGTGGTGCTGTGGTCTAAACCACTGAGCCTTGGGCTTGCCGATCAATAGGTTGGCAGTTCGAATCCCCATGATGGGGTGAGTGCCTGTTGCTCGGTTCCAGCTCCTACCAACCTAGCAGTTTGAAAGCATGCCAAAAAGTGCAGGTAGATTAAAAGGTACCGCTCTGGCAGGAAGGTAAATGGCCTTTCCGTGTACTGCTCTGGTATCGGTGTTCCGTTGCGCCAGAAGCGGCTTAGTCATGCTGGCCACATGACCCAGAAAAACTGTCTGTGGAGCAGACAAACGCTAGCTCCCTCAGCCTGTAAAGCGAGACGAGCGCCGCAACCCCAGAGTCATTTGCGACTGGACTTAACTGTCAGGGGTCCCTTTACCTTTGAACATGAACTCTGAGCTTATAAGCCTTGACTGAGGTTAGTCTACCTTAGGAGGTAGACTAGATTGAGATTTCCCATCAATGCCTTGTGTGGTTCTGATGTACATATGCTGAAGGAAGAGAGTGGAAAGGTTTTGGTATGCCCTATACTCTCTGTAGATATCTTTTCACACATGGCAGCTAAATCTAAAATTTTTATAACATTAAATATACTTGTTGTGGAGCAAGTGGGTAATTAACTTAAAACGTAGTTCAGCTGCCTGAATTAGTTCAATAACTGAGGAGGAAACATTGGGAGATGACATCTATTTCACATAACTAGTGAAACTGAACTGCCCATGCCACTTGGAGAACTTCCTGACATTTACTAGCTCTGTAACTTGGAGATCTAATGAAAACCATGCTAGGATTCTTCTCGGATCCCTTCTAAAATGGCTAAGTAACCATTGGAATATTTATTGGGATGCAAATTTCTGTGTACCAGAGCATAGGTCATCTAATGCATAAAGTGGTCTCCTGAGTTGTGAGAACATTACTGAGTCATCATAGCGATCCATAGTTAAAAGCAGAAGTTAAAAGCAAATGTGTTCCCTTTTTTACTCTTCAATATGTGGCAACCTAGAACTGAATAAATCAACTGTTAAAAATAATAGTAAAAGTCAACTCTCTCCTTTCAAAAACAAACAGTAAGCTTCCTATAAGCTCCAACATTCATCTCCCCTTCCTTGCCCAACTCTTCATTTTTTACCATTAAAGCTTAATTCATTTCCCATCAATTAGAGAAGATGAGAAATAAGTTAAACGTTGTTGCCAGTTTGCTAAAGTCCATTGTTAGCCTGAGGCATTTAATCCCCAGTCTGTTGATTCCACTGTTTGTGTAGTTGTTTTCTAAAAGGCTTTTATGCAAAATAATCGTAACATAAAGATCAAAATGAATCACACCCAAATATTTTAAGCAGCCTTATGCAAATATTTCATATTTCAATATGCACATAATTTAAGTTTGTGTTTAAAACATGAGTGAGACACAAGAAGTGGAATACATTTACCTAATTCATCCTTTCCAAAACAATATGCAAACTGAAACGTGACCATCCTTCAAAATTCACACTTTGGTGAATTTTGCAATGCAGTTCTCCTGCCAAGCAATGTGTACAAAAATGAACGCAGCTGAGGTAAAGTTTGAATATGCATGCATATGTTAGTGAAAATAATGTTCGAAAATGCACTGCATATGGGAAAATATAAATATTACAGGAAATATGCTTTGCAAAGATGTGTACTGTATATTAGTCAAACTTGCATACAAAATTGTTGGCTTTGTTTATTACGTGGTTACTTTAGACTTCCTTCAAACTGTCAAAAAGGCACCAACCTTTGTAACTTGAAATTCTACATAAATGTAATCAACAAATTTGTTGAAACCAAGGAGAGACGCTTGCCTTTTTTGGTTAAGCTAGCCAAACATGGTTCCCAACTGCAAATGTTGGAACTCCTTAGGGCCTGTCTCAGAGGGTGGCATTAATGGGTAGAGCCTTGGCAGAGGGTAGCCCCACTAACAGTTACAGCTCACCATGTGAATTCCTTGGATTGTTCCACTCATTGGTCATTAGTTTGGCACTGGCTGGGAGAGAAGAAGACATTCTGGAGTGCACAGAAAATGTCTCAGTGAAAAGTCAACCTGTAGTGCAGGGTCTCCCAATGTTGGGTCTCCAGCTGTTTTTGGACTTAATCCCATAATCCCTGCCTCCTGGTCCTGCTAGCTATGAATTATGGGAGTTGTAGTCCAGAACATCTGGAGACCCAACTTTGGGGAACCCTGCTATAGTAGAACATAAAATTTCCACTCTAGGTCAGACTAATCTCCCAAGCTCACTCAGCATCATTTGTAGGATCCACAGGGAAGTTCACAAGCAGACTTTGAGGGTAATATCCATTTTCTACTGAAACTCCTTATCTGGTAACCAGTGGCACAGAGTCTTCAAAGCTGCAGCTGGAGCTGAACAGATCTCAGAGGTCCTACAGCTAGGCTCTCTTCTGTAAGAGAACACACACAAACTTGAATCTCCTGCGGTCTTTCCACTTTCAGAGGCTTCTGCTGTGAAATATGTAGGAGGACAGAACGATCTGGTTCCAAATAATTAAAGCTGCTGTGGTGGCTTTCATGGTGCCAAGGAGTAAATTGTATCTCTATCTCCGTGCAACTTGGATGATCAATTAAAAATGCATGAGAGCGATTACTGCCGCAATTCAAAAAGTATCTGTTTGCCACAAATCTCGATGGACAAGGCCAGAGTTAACATCCAGAGCCATGTTTCATTATTCATAAAGCAGATGTAAACTTGAATGCTAGTCAATTGACATGTTAGTGCTGTGATAACATTTGCAATTCCGTAATTATGGGCAACCTGGTGTTTTTTTTTAAAAAAACAACTGTGGGAGTTTTTGGATGGGTTTTTTGTTCATTCCTTCTAACAGGGAAATATTAACATTTACTTTCCCACAATGGAGGATTAGAGGATGTTGATCTTGGATGAGGAAGAGCTGAATTTACAACAGCTCTCAGCCAGTGCCTCAGGGAGTGATCTTAGATAAGATGGCTTTATCTCAGCCTCCTCTCATGCAAATCTAACTCACAGGGTGGTTGGGACAAATTATGAGATAAGAGCAGCACACCAAGACGGAAAACAATGGGCATTTGTACTGACTGACAACAAAGACTCATAAGAAATGTCATTGGTACACAGCCCTACAGGGGGAAGGAATTGCCACATATATGATTAAGCTGCTATGGTCTTTAATCTTCATTAGCTTGGCAGAGATTTGTTGAGAGAGATAAGAGCTCCAGCTGCTGTATTGTGTGGATGCCATTTTCTCTCAGCTTTGTAGTGGAGTAGGAGGCTCAGTTCGGGACACGGGTGGCACTGTGGTGTAAACCATTGAGCCTTGGGCTTGCTGATTGGAAGGTCGGCGGTTCGAATCCCCACGATGGAGTGAGCGCCTGTTGCTCTGTCCCAGCTCCTGTCAACCTAGCAGTTCAAAAGCACGTCAAAGAGCAAGTAGATAAATGGGTACCACTCCGGCGGGAAGGTAAATCGCATTTCCGTGCACTGCTCTGGTTTTGCTAGAAGCGGCTTAGTCATGCTGGCCACATGATCTGGAAGCTGTTTGCGGACAAACGTCATCTCCCTCGGCCAGTAAAGCTAGATAAACGCCGCAACCCTAGAGTCGTTCGCGACTGGACTTAACTGTCAGGGGTCCTTTACCTTTACCTTTCAGGAGGCTCAGTTGCTTTCTTGGACAGCGGAAGCAATGGTGTTCTGCGATGGCTCAATGCTGCAAGTTTTGTCAGCTTGAGGTGTTAGAGGACTGGTCCAACCTTGTATATGATTCTTACGTTGGGTAACCCAATGTCACCTAGTTGGCTCCATGGAAGATCCAAGGCTTCCAAACCCAGTTCTCTCCAGCCTAAGTCCAACATGTTAACCAGTGCACCAACCTTTGCCAGGTCCCTATTTTCCAACTGTTGGCCGATCCTGACAAACTGAACACTCCCAGGGTGCCCAGCTATGGCAGCTGTTGCAATGAACTCCTCCAGTCCAAAACTAACTGCAATACTGCTGTTCTCTTTATATGATGAAAAGTATTTGGTGGTCTTTTAGGTTGGAGTCCCATAACACCTTATTTATTTAAACACATTTATTGTGGCATAAGCTTTTGTGGACAGGAATATCTGTCACCAGTTGCATGACATGTTATGCCTAGTTGCCAGGTGTATATGGATGGGTGCATTGTGGGGGTGGAGAAAAACAGACAAACATCATGAAGTGCAAAAGAAAAGAAAAAGAAACAGGACAACTCAGCGGAAGTTTAAATGTATGCACAAAGTATAGTGACTATTCACAGCAATATGTTTCAATATGAATCAAATCAAATATCCCAGTATTATGACTTAGTTTGTGCTGTCCTTTCAATTTAACATTTCTTTGTAGGAGAATTGAACTTTTAGGTAATACAACAGGAGGTATTTATTGGCCAATCTGTATAATGGGAAGAGATTAGAGTCTCGAATAAATGCTCTTGCCAGTTGAGGAGCTAAAGTGATGGGAACACTCAAAAGAAAAAGTTGTCCCCAAACCGTTGAGACTAAGCTTTTCATCTTGAAAGTTTAGTGAGTGTGTATAGTAGTATAATAGTGATGACAGAACCTGTACATGTGTGTGTGTGGGTGTGTGTGTGTGTGTGTGTAGGCACTCCTGTGTATGCAGATGCAAGGACAATCTCTCAAAAAATGGAGGGTCATAAGGAAATAAAATCCATTTGAGAGCTGGCACTGCATTGCTCCAAGTAGTGTTTTAATGAATGAATCCGTAGCAGCATTAGAGGTCTACTTTGGCAGAATGCTTCCTGTGGGAAGCCCCAGTGTGCCATTCACTTAATGTTTGGAAGTGTTTACCGATTCTTTTCTCTCCCTCTCTCTCATCTTTTTCTCCCACCCACCCCTCTTCCCCATTTGAACAGAAAGAACGAGAGAAGGGCTCCAATCTGGCATTCATGTTTCGGTTGCCCTTTGCTGCTGGTAGAGTTTTTAGTATCAGCATGTTGGACACCCTGCTGTATCAGGTATAGTGAAGGACAGGTTTTATTCCTTTTCTGAATTCATACTAACATCCCAACCCCATACTAACATCATAACTCAGCGGTCTACCCCAACATTGGGATCTGTGACATTGTGCCAGAATGCTAATGCCATTTCAAAATGTCACGCTGTTCACCCTGAGAATGCAAAGAGACAACAATAACAAGCAGTTTATTGCATGCTGCAAAACATAGAAGAAAAGCTGGTACTTCTGGGATGGGATTGGTGCTGAGCTGAGAACAGCTAGCTAGCTACCCATCTCAAAAGTTCTTACGCTACTACAGACCCAGCTGCATTCATACAGTCCATCACATACTAATAATTGTATGTTGTGTAGTATATCATCATACACAATACTTTGCAGAGTTTATGCTGAGTGCTAGCCATTATCTAAAAAACCTTGATATCCGGGGGGGGGGGGGGGTTGGAGATGTGATGGAGCCTAGGATTGCATACTTTGCTATTGTCCCCATTCTTTGAGGGAGCATGGCAAACAATTCAAAAGGTTGTTATGGACAAAGAAAAATGTATTTCTGCAAACACATTAGTTGTATAATGCTCCCAGAAAATAAGTGCATCATTAGTTGTGAAGCTGGTCTTCCCTCCACAAAGTAAATATCCACTGCAAAAAACAAACAAACACCAATATATGTGTTTACCTATTCTGTTTAGGAATGTTGATTACAATGGTACCTCTGGTTAAGAACTTACTTTGTTCTGGAGGTCCGTTCTTAACCTGAAACTGTTCTTAACCTGAGATACCACTTTAGCTAATGGGGCCTCCCGCCGTTGCTGCCACGCCGCCACCGCACAATTTCTGTTCTCATCCTGAAGCAAAGTTCTTAACCTGAGGTACTATTTCTGGGTTAGCAGAGTCTGTAACCTTAAGTGTTTGTAACCCGAAGCGTTTGTACCACTGTACTCTGATATATACTAAAGTACTTTTCTTTTTAAAACTTGCAGTCCTTTGTTAAAGATTACATGATATCTATCACAAGACTTCTGCTGGGCTTAGATACTACACCAGGTTCTGGCTTTCTTTGTTCTGTAAGTATTTTTATTTTATCCCATATAATTAAGTTTGTTGATACTTTGGATGTTTCTTCATTTGTTTTTCATATTGCATTTTCTCCCTAAGAGTAGCTGTCTGATTGCTTTTGGTACAGAAAACAATATTAACAAAAATAGGTGCAAGGAATTGAACTTCCTCTCCTCCCTGTGTGCTCTTCCAAATCTGTTCTCTGAAGCAGATATTGATTTCAGGGGGTGGGGACAACCCCCTACATTGCACAGGTAGAAGTCCTTTCTGCTAATGGGATGACTTCATCGGATACAATCTCCAGTGCTTTATGAGGTGAAGGGGATTTATAGATACTGACCCGATACATGAAAAATTGATCCAGCAATTATTTTTATTAATATTCTCCAGATGGTGCAAAGTGATATACAGTTCTGAATTGATTTATCTACAGAGTGTAAAGAGATAGTGTAGCCTAATATGTATGGTGACCAACTGGGATAAGTCGTTTGTATGCTGCAACAATTGTGTTAATATATCATTTGAGTAAATAAAACATCTCCAAACAGTCAGACTCTTTTTGTTGCTGCTGTTGTATAGATGAAAATCACAGAAGACGATTTGTGGATCAGAACGTACGCCAGGCTCTACCAGAAGCTTTGTTCTTCTACGGGGGATATTCCTATTGGAATCTATAGAACCGAATCACAGAAACTTGCAACGTCTGAGGTATGGATGGGTTACAGACAAGTTCTGATCAGGAATGTTTCAGAAATGTTACTCAAGTAATTTGCAATGAACAGTGACAGAGTGGTTTCACTTAACTATGTTTTGCTCACCTTTCTTTCTTCTCTGATTCACACTTTATGCTAGTTTCATTTGTACCCTATGCAGTGCTGTTTTGAATCTATAAACGTAAAATGTGAGAGGGAGTCACGCATCTACAAACATTTTGAAACATGCACAACTTCAGTTTGCTGTTGCTCCTGACGCTTCTCCACTATGAGCTTAGAGAATTTAGTACTAAAGCTGGCCCAATATGCCACACATGTATTGTAGTACAGTGGTGCCTCGCAAGACGAAATTAATTCGTTCCGCGAGTTTTTTCGTCTTGCGATTTTTTCGTCTTGCGAAGCACGGTGTCGGAAAAGTTTTGGAAAAGCTTCAAAAATCACCAAAGTCTTCAAAAACCTCAAAAAAGGCTACCACACCGCGTTCTATGAGTTGCTCCTCGAAGTCAAGTCACAACTGTATTAACGGTGTTAAGAAAAAGGAAACAAACTTGCAAGACGTTTCCGTTTTGCGAAGCAATCCCATAGGGAAAATCGTCTTGCGAAGCAGCTCAAAAAACAAAAAACCCTTTCGTCTTGCGAGTTTTTCGTCTTGCGAGGCATTCGTCTTGCGAGGTACCACTGTAGTTAAGTTCCTAGAGATCATTTGGGGAGAACAGCCGATTGGAGGTGAGAAACTAGCTATTTTTCATTTTATTATTGCCACTGCATTGTGTCATCATCCAAAGGCACACCACACATTTGTTATGCCATTGGTTGTGCTTCTTCAACTTCTCCATCGCAAGTTTAAAACTCTTTCACATGTGTCACTGCAACCTGAATCAAAGACCTGTCAAAATGCAAGGGGTACAAAGTTCATTGTAATAAAACCTAGAGACAGATCTACTTTACAAGAATCATGAGAATTGCTTCTGGCAAGATCTCTGAAAGACCAGTACATATGTTTATGTTTGCCTGCAAAAGTGTGTGCCAAGGAAGGATGCAAATTCTGACATAGAGAACCAGCCCTGATACTTGGAAACCAGCCCTGATACTTGGAAACAATTTGCTTGATTGCAGATCTTCAGCTTTGTTTCATTCTAGGGATACGTGAAATTCTCCTGGCCAATTTAGTGAGATTCCTCAGATACTGTACCTTTGCCCAAGCTACAACCTTCTGCTTTGCCTCAAATTTAGTTATAGGAAAAATTCAACAACAGCTTTATAGCGTTTAACAAATTCAGCAGTCAACACTCACGAGAATTTATTATTTTATAACTGTGTAACGCTGAGGAGTCCGTTAGTAATTTCTGTTGAAATCATAGGCTATGATTTTTGTTGGAATCATAGACCTCTTGCAGCTGGAAGAAAGCCACAGAGCCTAGGACTTGCCAATCAGAAGGTCGGCGGTTCGAATCCCTGCAACAGGGTGAGCTCCTGTTGCTCGGTCCCTGCTCCTGCCAACCTAGCAGTTCGAAAGCATGTCAAAGTGCAAGTATATAAATAGGTACCGCTCCGGCGAGAAGGTAAACGGCGTTTCCGTGCGCTGCTCTGGTTCGCCAGAAGTGGCTTAGTCATGCTGGCCACATGACTCGGAAGCTGTACGCCGGCTCCCTCGGCCAATAAAGTGAGATGAGCACCGCAACCCCAGAGTCGGTCACGACTGGACCTAATGGTCAGGGGTCCCTTTACCTTTACCATGGAACTTAATTGAGGAATCTGTTTTCTCAAAATGTTTAGTAATTCTACACTTCTAAAGCATGAGAAACAGCCTGTAAAACATAGGTCTATTCACTTAAGTCAATTTTTTGTTTAAAAAATTAAGTAGTCTTGCAGTACACCTCTGTTTTTGTTATAAAATAAATTTGCACAAATTTTCTGGTATGCAATTGGCATGAATGTATTTCCAACAGCATAACATGTGACTCTGCCATTTATTACATTCTTAGTTATATTCACATTCAGTTATGATGGCCATTAGGCCCATCGTTACTTAGAATCCACAATTTTTCATAATGCGAATTTGTGGAACAGAAAATGAAAGTTGAGGATATGTAGGGTTTTTTTTAAGTTTGTTTTTATTTTAAAGAGAGAAAACTTTCTGTGCCTTGAGGAGTCACTAATCAAGTTATAAAACAGGAACACTGCATAAACATTATCTAACACAAAATAATAGGGATTAAATATTTTGTTGCTTGGGCTAGGGGTGGTGTGAGACTTGTTCTGGAAAATTTTGCCACAAGAAAAGCTGGTCCCATTTGAGCTGCACCTCTTTCAATCTGAGCCTGACTCAAAATGAAATGCAATTTTCTGTCATGGCTTCCCTGATGTCATTACATTTCTGGGACTTGGTCCAAAGTCGCTTGGCTTAAAATGGAACCATGTGTACATTTTACAGCAAAGGAGACCCCTTGCAGGACATTGGTGTCGATCCTCAGACAGATGGAGGGAGTGGGTAGGAAAGCAAGGAGTGGCCCATCACTTGGGCTTATCAAGTGTTAATACTGAACTTTTGACACAAATGCTTGAAAAGCTCAATTGATTTTGGGAGTGAGCAAGAGTGGCTTTGTACATCCCTGACTTGTGCTGGCCAAATGTGTACTGGTGACACCAAACTAGTTTGTTTGCTGCTTTTCTTTAACAGGATAGTCAGATAATAGGGGAAAATGACAAAGAGAAAGTTAGATGGGAAAATAGCACCTGGAGAGAGAGATACTGTAAAAATAATAATAATCAAACGTGGTTTCTATTTTGCAGGTTAGGATTAAAGGTGAGTCTCAGCTCTATAATGGTTGAAGACTAACCATTAATTGACCAATTTCTAATAAATATTTTATTCACTCAATATAACTAAAGTCTTTGTTTGAGATCCACAAATCTGGCTTTAGGACTTCATATAATGATGTCCATTGACTTTTTTGCGGGGCGGGTTTGTATATTATATATGTACTTGAGTTACATGGAGTGAATAGAATGTTTTTATATATCTATAACTTACCTTACCAAATAGGATGGTCAAGGGCAACTTGGGAAACAATTCCTTATGTGAGTCCCACATTCATTTGTTCAAATGATTGCAAATTGAAATTGCAAGAATATTTTACACTACACACACAGCTAGCCATGCATTTATTTGTACAATCCCAATATTGTGATCACTACAAATTGTCTGTCTGTATTCATTGTTTGGACACTTGTTTGAATGGTGTTCTGTTTTCTTTCCCCTTCGCCTGACCCCCCTCACTTTGTATCAGTCTCGAGAAATGGCTTCACAAGTAAGTATTTGTCAAATGTTTCCATATGCCCAGTCTTGGCCTAGACCAGGAACAGCTTACCCTGGGGGGCCTAATCTCCCCATCCAAGATCCCACCAATTTTGTCAGCAGTGACAGAAATATATTAGACACAGTACTGTTGTGTGTGAAGCCCAGTGCCCTATTGTGGCATCTCCTTCCAAGTTATCAGATAAATTATCTGATGAGAGGAGAGGGTTCAATAACACCTCCTCTTCACCTGGTATATATAGGTCAGCTGAGAAGGTGGAGGCCCTGTTTATATATGAGTGCAAGCATGTGTCATGTGTGTGAGTGTGTCTGTGATGTGAGAGTGTGGAACAGCCACTCCCTTTCTGGTGGCCCCCAGAGAGTTGGCCATGGGTGCATGCCAGCCTTGAGCTAAAGAAAGAAAATAGTGAGCTGTTAGATGAAAATCAGAAATCACAGTGAATCAATAGTACTTTTTGTATAGGTAAATTAAACAATTTCTAGCCAAAGATAATACAAATTGTTTGAGGGCCCAATTTAAAGTGCTGTTTTTGACCTTTAAAGCCTGTGAACCGCCCTGAGACCTGCAGTTATAGAGCAGTATATAAATTTTATTTATTATTTTTAAGAATTGCTTGGAACCACAAAAACTAAAGGATCACATTCCCCATATGAAACTTTTCAGATCTGGATAATGTCATCTGAGTCCCGTTTCTATGAGCTACCTCAGATGTAGGTTCAGAGGGTGATAATGAGAGAACAGACCTTTTCTGTAGTAGCCTCCATTCCTTGTTTATGGAATGCTCTCCCCAGAGTGGCCTGCCAGGCACCAACTTTGCAATCATTTCAGCACCGGGCAAAGATGTTTTGTTTTTCTGGGCATTTGGACAGTCCCTATGCCACCATGTTAAATTGCTGTATTCTTTACTTGTGGGGAAATCGCTTTGGGACTTTTTAGTGGAAAGTGATATACAAATTTAATAAACCGATTTAAGGGGATGTGTTAATACTGCAATCTAGTAATTGCATATAGTCCTGATTGTGTATAATACAGACCACAGGGCATTCCAAAATGAGACATTCTATCTAGTGGTTTTATAGAATTATGAATGTTATGTGCATTCGTTTCATTTATAATATAAGCCAGTCCTCAGAATTATATCACACTCTTAATGTGACCAGTGAACAATGTCCCATATATCATCACCTGTGGGAAAACTAAAAGCATAGGAATTCATTGAAACCTTATTGCTCTTGTATTATATAGGTTCTCCTATTATGAACACACACGATCAGTGATAACAAAATGCCATGCCTGTCATTATATTAATATATCATTGTGCATGTGGAAATTGTGCCAAACTGGCCTATGTTCTTCTCCTATTGTAGCTTCCACTCTGTTTTGCCCAGTGCTTACTCATTCTGACCCTCACATGGAATAGTAGATGAGCCTAAGGAACCTGTGCTCACCAGCTTCTTTGATCTCCTGATGCAGCAAAAGCTTAGAGCCAGGGCAGTTGGGCTGTGCCATTTGGTTGTGGAGCTTCAGGGGCCCAACGTAAAACTGAATCTGGTTCTGCAACAGGTTCAGGGATCTGAATAGTCTCCCTCTGATGAACAAACTTCTAGCTTGTTCCATTGTTTCCATTGCCATTTCTCAGACTCTGGTTGCTGTGAACCTATTGCACTTCTATGCTGAATGCAGATGTGTTGTTGGAACAGGCAAAAGTAAAAGTGAGGTGCAAACCCAATGAATGAATATGCCAAAGTATTTGGCCTGATAACCTTGGTGAGATTTAGCTATCACCTTCATGTTCTGCCCTTTATTTTTCTTCTGCATACACTTTCACCAACACCATGCATTTTGTGCAATACGGCCTTAAGTGATTCCATCCCAACCAAGTTCTTCCTACAGTTGTCTAATGTTTGGTCCAACGAGTTTCCCCAAAGAAATTCATAGCTTTTCTTTTGCATGATTCATATCATGGGTTTCCTGTGCCAAACATTGACTGTATTGAATAGTGGAACTGGAGGCAGGGAAATGAAAGGGAGGGAAGAGGCATTGTCCTGAGTTAATTTTTAAAAAAATGATAATGGGAAAAGCATTTTCAAAAGGATTTAATTTCTTGAATGTTTTGGTGTTGTTTTTTAGTCTCAAATTTCCATCAGTGTGGAAGAATGGGAGGACACTAAGGACAACAAAGAACCGTTTAACTGCCGTAGCAACCATCGTAACTCAACATCGAGTGATCAGTCAGACCATCCTTTGCTGCGACGGAAAAGTATGCAGTGGGCTCGGCGGCTGAGCCGAAAAGTGCCAAAGCACTCGGGGAAAACTGCAGAGAAAATCAGTCAGCAGAGAATGAATCTTTACAGAAGGTCAGAAAGGCAGGAACTTGCTGAACTGGTGAAAAACAGAATGAAACATTTGGGACTTTCAACAGCAGGATATGGTAGGACATTCCTCTCTAAAGATAGATGCAACTTTCATTTTATGTAGCAATGCATTGGATGAAAGAAAGTGGTCGCATTCCCTTGCCAACGGCTCGTCAGCGAACTTTAGAAATTGTGGGATAGAGAGCAGACCCTCTGATAGATAAATAGCTCTAGAAAGCAGGGAATAGGTACAAATGGACAGTTCTTTCAGTGGAGAGAAATAAGGTCCCTTAAAACTATGTATTGGGGCAGGTGCTACTTCGTTTCTTCATCATTTTTCTGGAATTAGTGATAAGCAAAGAAATGGCCAAGTTTTTGGAATACACCAAATTATTCCGGTGAAAATCCAAGCAAAATATGTTTCTTGTTAAGAAAATGAAAATCTGGCGAATATTTCGAATTTGGTAGCCACTTTCAAATCATTGCTAGGTTTCTGTACAGGGTCATCATTTTTCTTTTTAAAAACAAACATACAAACAATTTTTTTTTTACTAAAATGCTTATAAAAGGATCAATGATAATTGGTTAAATATAGCTTTTTCAGTTCATGTAATTATAAGAGCTGGAAGGGACCACAAAAGTAATCTAGTCCAGAGGTTCCAAATTGGTGGTTTGCAGACCCCCCCCCATGTGGTCTGTGGCACTATTAATATAACAAAATCTACCACAGAGATAGAAAAAATTCAAAAGTAGAGGGTCCATGGACTGACTTTTGAAAAACAGGAGGTCTACAGTACCGTATTTTTTGCTCTATAAGACTCACTTTTTCCCTCCTAAAAAGTAAGGGGAAATGTGTGTGCGTCGTATGGAGCGAATGCAGGCTGCGCAGCTATCCCAGAAGCCAGAACAGCAAGAGGGATAGCTGCTTTCACTGCGCAGTCATCCCTCTTGCTGTTCTGGCTTCTGAGATTCAGAATATTTTTTTTCTTGTTTTCTTCCTCCAAAAACTAGGTGCGTCTTGTGGTCTGGTGCGTCTTATAGAGCGGAAAATACGGTACTTAGCTAATTGGGAACCGCTGGTCTAGTTGAATCCCCTGGAATGCCGAAATATTTTGCCCAATGTGGGGCTCAAACCCTGAGATTAAGAGTCTCGTGTTCTACTGACTTTCAGAAGCTATCATGCTTTCATAAATAGTATAATAGAGTAATATTCAACCATTTCAGACCAGGACCTACCTTTTGTTCCTCCGTGAAACACAACGTGGGACATACTTTCATTGATGGTAAAATATTTTATACAGTGGTACCTCGGGTTAGGGATGCGGGTGGCACTGTGGGTTAAACCAAACACAGAGCCTAGGACTTGCCGATCAGAAGGTCGTGGTTCAAATCCCCGCAATGGGGTGAGCTCCCATTGCTCAGTCCCTGCTCCTGCCAACCTAGCAGTTCGAAAGCACGTCAAAGTGCAAGTAGATAAATAGGTACCGCTCTGGCAGGAAGGTAAACGGTGTTTCCGTGCGCTGCTCTGGTTCGCCAGAAGCGGCTTAGTCATGCTGGCCACATGACCCGGAAGCTGTACGCCGGCTCCCTCTGCCAATAAAGCGAGATGAGTGCCGCAACCCCAGAGTCGGCCACGACTGGACCTAATGGTCAGGGGTCCCTTTACCTTTACCTTAGGTTAACAATTTAATTTGTTCTAGAGGTCCGTTCTTAACCAGAAACTGTTCTTAACCTGAGGTACCACTTTAGCTAATGGGGCCTCCCACTGCTGCTGCGGCGGTGCCGCCGCCATACCGTTGCCGCCGCACCACCAGAGCACGATTTCTGTTCTCATCCTGAAGCAAAGTTCTTAACCTGAGGTACTATTTTTGGGTTAGCGGAGTCTGTAACCTGAAGCGTCTGTAGCCCGAGGTACCACTGTATTTCTCTTTCACTTTCTGCTTCCCCTACCACCTCATTTATTCCTTATCTTTTCAATAAAATAAAGTGGCGGTTTTGGTATGTCTGCTTTGACCCATCATAGGTCTAAGTATGACCTTCATGCCTGAGTCATTTGAAGTACAAGCCATGCATCCTTTATTATTCTCTCTCCCTCCCTCTCTTTCTCCTATAGATGAAATGAATGATCATCAAAACACTCTTTCTTATATTCTGATCAATCCTTCTCCAGACACACGACTTGAACTGAACGATGTTGTGTAAGTTGAGGACGTAAAACAAAAGAATTCACCGAGCTTCTAATTTGCACTTTCATGCAGCAGAGAACATTTATTTCTAAAGCTTAGCTGGGAATTCTCATTTTTTTAACATTCTCAGCTTGAAATTGGAGGATTAAGCAGAGTGAAATATTTCGGCGTCCACACACTTATCACAACTGCTTCCAGTTTGCATAATCCTGATATTTCAAGCAATAACACCCAGCGCTGCATGTCATTTATCTTGTCTATTTACTCATGGAATTGTCATGAAGCCAAATTGGAGCGAAGGGAGGAAACAATGCTTGCTCAACAAGCCATCTTGGTTTGTTGAAATAAATTGTGGAAGGTATGCATGATACATTGATATCAGTTGTGCTGTTACTAGCTATGATAGGGAATAATTGTGAATTCAGATGGGAGTTTTCTTGTTAAATCTAATGACAATTGCATGTCTATATTTTTGTAGATATTTGATCCGCCCAGATCCATTGTCATATGTTCCAAACACTTCATCCAGCCGGAAAAACAGCTTCTGCAACGCCGTTGCACAGGACACCAGGGAAGAAACACAGCTTTGACGCTTCACACAGATCATTGATGAAAAGACGTTTTTATACAAATAGCTGTTTTGAAATTTAGTGAAAATAAGATGATGGATTTATTATATCCAAGCCTTTAGGCATAATGGTCAGCTAACACACACCGGGCAACTACTTTACTGTAACCACAGGAACGATTAGGAAAAGCTGGGTCTGGTTTCAAAAAAACTAATCTGTCTTGGAGATAAAAATAACAAAGAGAGACTAAAATCAAACAAGTGTGCCCAGAGTGTTGCTCAGTGAAAGGAGGATTTTAATGGGGAATCTAAATGGATTATTTTTTCAAAGAGATATTAGAAATTAATATATTCTTTTCTTATCCTGGTTTTCGTCAGCCGCTGTGGGGAAGTGGCTCAGTTCTTAACCATGCTGTGTACAGCATTCGTTATTATTTCTCTGTCCCACAACCATAAACTTCTGGTTGTTGCAGTTAAATTAAAAATCAAAGGAAGTTTCAGGCAAGTCCTAACATCTTAAAACTGGAATTCAAAGTGAATGTTCTGAAAATTCGCTGCTTGGTGACAATAACCCAGTATGCATTTCCGCTGTCTTTAAGTTCGTCGCATTTCATATCTCTCCTATAGCCTTTTTCAACCAATTTAAATTCCTGGCTAATTGAAAACATTGTTTGTTTAGATTTGTAGCCCTCAGCATTTAAAGACTCAGGGCAAATGTAGCATCACAAATAAAAATGCAGCAATCAATCTCTGTACTAGAGACTCACAGTCTAAAGGAGAGTGGTGTGGCAAATAGCTCCGCATTGTTCCCTGAGTTTGGAACCCAGCAACCTGGTAACCACAGTCCTGCTTGCTGTCAGTGTACAGAGACATAGAAGTTCAGAAGATTTTATCAGACTCAGGCAGAAAACTAAGCTATTTTGTACACTGGATTTGGGGGGAGGGTTTTTTGTGAAGCGTCTGTCACGAAGAGGGAAGTGCAGAATGCTTTGGGGTACCTGCTACTATAGCACTGCTGAAGTTAAATTAATGACTTGCTCAGTTCCTTGGTCACCAATTAAGGACAGGATCTTGTGCATTGTTTGAAAAAGCAAGATGTATGGAAGGTACGATAGCCTATGAAATGTTCAGACAACGGGTAGCTCAAGGTCCACAGGCTTGTAAGCTTTCTACAAAAACGTTTCTGCCAGACAGCTTAGCACCATGCTGCTACTGTATGGAGAAGGATTTGTCCACAAGAGTGTCATTCTGTAAGAAAACGAGAGAACAGTTTTTTCACTGGAGAAGGAGCTTTGAAAGCCAGAAGAGACCTACAGATTTTTGGGGTGGGTGGGTTGTTTTTAGTTTTGCCTGCCCCTAGTCTAAGCTAGTAGTTAGACTATAATTTTGCTGGAGTCGTGTTCTGCATCGTAGTTAATCTAATAATTCATTCAGTCCTAATCCTATCTAAGGCAGGCCAAAAACCAGTTGGTTAACTTTGATGTTGTTCTTGACTGAGATTTATCCACACCTATGGCCTGATTCATTCATTATTGCTACTGTAGGGGAGCTGCTTCTGTGTCACGCCAGTTAATGTCTTTTGGTTTGGACAGCTTCAGATGCACATGTTGAAGGAACATGAGAATTGTGAGGTTGTGTCAGTTTCTCATATTTTTTCAGTCTTAAATTTAGTTCTCCACGTTTGTGATTATTTATTATTTTAAAAGAGCCACCATGAAAATTCATCAGCGTTTTGATGCAAATTTCTCCTAATATACACAGGTTTGTATGCAACTTTGCCTGTTATATACATTTTTGCAAAGCAATTTCCCCAGATAAACTGCATTTTGTATGTTATTTTCACTAATATATGCATTTTTAGGCATACTCTAGTATATGCATTTTTGTACACATTACTTGGATGGAGAAACTGCGTAGCAAAATTCGGGGAGGTATGAATTCGAAGGATGACTGTGTGTCGGCTTGTATACTGTTTCAGAAAATGCAAATTAGGCAGGTTCGTCCTTAAATGCAAGCTGAAACGAATTTCTTCCCCATCCCTAAGTATAAGTAGGGATGTTTATATATTTTTTACTAAAATAACAGGAGTACATACATATTACTACACAAAGAACTGTTGGGACATGACAAATGGAGTAGGTTAGGGACAACGTCGCCTGTTGTTTAAAGTCCTTATTAGTGTTACATGTATAGGTTATGTTTTCTATATTGTTTGAAAGAGCTGTTATAAGTTTGTGTGTACAAATCAAATGACGCCAAAACTGCTCAACAAAACTATCTGTGCATGTGACAGTAGCCTACTGCATACGACAGCATTTTAAATGGTTGTAATATTTGTTGTAGGGAACCAGCTATTGTCCCAGCCATATGCACTAACAGTTTCTTTATTTCTCTTTCTTCCATGTGTCAACTATGTGAATTAATAAAAGCCATTTTCTTATGCAGTGTCACAGTGGTAGCAACTTCTCTCACAACTCCCCCCTGTGTAGCTATGCTATCTGAAGCTCAAGTGCCCATTTCCATGTGTATAGATACAGCATGTTGCAGGGCGGAGGTCTGTTTCATGTTTTTCCAATTGTTCCATCTGTGCAAAAACTCCAGCTTGCCAGATGGAACAATACCCTCTCCATCTTCTCCTGACACCCTGAGCAAATTTCATAGGGTATGGGAAAAGAAGAAGGGGGTGGTGGAAGACCTGTTGTACAAGTGGAAGTTCTTTTACCTTCCACTGGTTGAGCTAGTTAACCGAATGCTGCTCAGAATATTTCCCCTCCTACTTGCTTCTTGGGTGTGTGATTTGTACAGGCTGACAACTCATTGAAAAATCAGAGGCCCTCATGTGGCAATTAGATATTGTTATTGCTGTTTTTCAAAAGATCCAATTCATGTGAATGAAACCTTTTTCCTAATGACCCTGTGGGGAGCGGATGGCAACTGAGAAAGATAAGGTTAACCTTCTACACCTTACATGTTGTTAGCTTTGAAAAATCACCTCCACTAGTCTGGTAATTAAGCTTGGGTGGGGTGGACGCTCCTATTGGTTCAGATGGGGAAACAATGACAGTAAAGAAATCGGGAAGAAGGCGATGGTAGAATATGTGTAAGTGTAAGACAGACAATGTGGATGAAGGGTTCATGCTTGTTTTTGCATGTGGATGGGGGGATGGGGAATATAGTGCCATGCCTTTTTGAAGGGGCAGCGGCTGGTTGTCTTGTGACCCCTGAAGCCAACATGACTCATAGACTATTCTGTATCCTTTGTTCCTGTCAAAGTGTTAGAATTTGATGATCCCACATTGTCCAGGAATTTGCAACTTCACTTATCATCCAGTTTCTAACATTCAGCCAGGAGACAAGGATATAGAACTAGTTCCATAGCCATGTAAATGTGGTGAATACTATTTCTGACCCATTTAAACCAATAATTTATGGTCTGGAGAATAATATCAGAACATTTTGACATTTACTGATAAAAGTCCAAACAATTCCATTTCAACTATTCCATCACAACATTACAATGTATGGCAATGTTAAGGAAGGAAGGAAGGAAGGAAAGAGGAAGGAGAGGAAGGAAGGGTAAGGAAGGAGGTTCAATCCTAGAGGTTTCCTTCATAAGTAAGTTTCACTAAATGTCTTGTTTCTGAAAAGTGTAGGATCCCTGCAGGGCTGCGGTATGTGGACACACAGACAACTCAAATAGGCCACCCCTTTTCCATTTATGCTCATAATGGCACACCACACTGCTGTTGTTACTCTGAATCCATACCCACTCATAGGAACTAATTCTGTATCCTTTGTTCAGAAGCAGCTGTGGGAAGTGAGAATCTATTGTTAGAGGTAAATAAGTTTTTTAAAAAAATATTACTTGATTGGACTTGACAAAGATTTGTGCTACCAAATAGGTAGCTATTTGCTGTCCAGATTACATTCATAATAGGCCTTTATTTTTAAAAGATTGTATGAAAAATATATGTGAAGCACAACATTTGACATCTGTCTGGCTAAATTGCATGAAAAATCGAACCCCCACCAATTCCGAGAAAGATGTAGCAGCTTTCTATTATTTAGAAGAGGAACAGAATGCTTATAGGAATTGGACTATTTTGTTGCATATTCATGATGCTTTAAAATGGTTATTGCTCCCAAATTTGCAAAAGGAATAAAATATCCATCATAATATAAACTAGCCTTGGGTGAATTTTCCACCCCATTCCACTTAATCCTCAATTCACTCATTCATTCCAAGCTTCTGTCTTGAAAATGCAAGGAAATTTCTCTCTCCCTCCCTCTCTCTCTCTCCCCTCTCTCTCTTGCGCTTTCCTGGAAATTTTCTCCTGCTCCATAATGTTGGGGCATACACACACATTTATTTACTTAATTTTGTTTTAAATATTCCTGCTCCTCAGCCAAACAATGCACCCAGAGCAGCTTGGCAGAACTGTCTTTGCCCTTGTTGCAATCTAAAAGATGAAACAAGAGGAAAAGGGATTGCATAGCAATTGAATAAGAATGACAACCCAGGTGTGGGTGAAAGGAGGCCACGACTTTTATTGACTACAGTGAGTAGTGACTATGTTGGTTTACTGCCTGCCTCACTGCCCAGCAGTCTCCTTGCCTAAGCTGACAGAGCTAGTATCGGAGGCCATGTTGAGGACTTCCTGACTGCTGTTTTGGGGGAAACTTCAACATCCATTCCAAGACAACTGGCTCTGGGGTGGCTCAGGACTTCATGGCTGCCATGACGACCATGGGGCTGTCCCAACATGTCTTCAGCCCAATGTGCATGGCAGGCCACACTCTGGATCTTGTATTCTCAACTGGGCAGAAAGAAGGTGATAGGAAAGTGGGGGGATATTAACACAAATCCCTTGTAATGGTCCTATCACTTCCTGCTGAGATTTAGGTTTTCAGCAACTTTCCCCCTCTGCAGAGGTGGGGGACAAATTAGGACGGCCCACCCTTGGAGGCTGATGGATCCAATGGGTTTCCACATAGCTCTGGAGGATTTTCCAACTGATATAAATGATGCTGCAGTTGAAGCCCTACTCTCTTTCTTGCCTCGGTCATGGACTGGATGAAAGCCAATAAACAAAATTCAATCCAGATAAGACTGAGACACTGTTAGTGGGTGGTTCCCTAGACAAGATGGATGGGAAGTTGCCTGCTCTTGATGGGGTTACACTTCCTCTGAAGGAGCAGATACATAGCTTAGGGCAGTGGTTCTCAACCTGTGGGTCCTCAGATGTTGTTGGACTACAACTCCCATCATCCCTGACCACTGGTCATGCTGGCTGGGAATGATGGGAGGTGTAGTCCCATCTGGGGACTCACAGGTTGAGAACCACTGGCTTAGGGGGACCTTTGCTGTCACTTGATGCTCAGGTGGCCTTGGTGGCACAGAGTGCCTTCCATCAGCTTTGACTGGTGCCCCAGCTTTGCCCATATCTGGACAGGGAAAGCTTAACTTCTGTTGTCTATGCTCTGGTAACCTCTAGGTTAGATTACTGAAAAGCGTTTTATGCAGGGCTGCCTCTGAAGATGTTTGGAAACATCTTCATTTGGCTTAGAAACATTTGGCTTAGAACAAAATACAGTAGTACCTCTGGTTACATACTTAATTCGTTCCGGAGGTCCATTCTTAACCTGAAACTGTTCTTAACCTGAAGGACCATTTTAGCTAATGGGGCCTCCTGCTGCTGCTGCGCCACTGGAGCACGATTTCTGTTCTCATCCTGAAGCAAAGTTCTTAACCTGAGGTACTATTTCTGAGTTAGTGGAGTCTGTAACCTGAAGCATATGTAACCTGAAGCGTATGTAACCCGAGGTACCATTGTACTGTATAAACTTGAGTATAAGCCGACCCGAATATAAGCTGAGGCACCTAATCTTAGCACAAAAAACTTATTGACTCAAGTATAAGCCGGTTCACCACACCACAAACCTGGTGGTGGCGGCAGCAGCAGAGGAAGAACAAGCAGCCTGAAAGGGCTGCTTTCGGCTGCACATTCCTTCACCGCCGCGGCCGCCAGTGGCAAAGGCGGTGGAGGAGGAAGGAGCAGCCCAGAAGGGCTCCTTTCGGGTTGCTCGTCCCTCCTCCGCCACCTCTGCCACTCACAAGAGCAGGCATAGGAGCTGCGGTTGGGAGAGGCACAGCGCAGTGCCTCTCCCAACCGCGGCTCCGGTGCATGCCCTTGCGAGAGGCGAACCAGCAGTGAGAAAGGGCTCCTTTAGGGCCGCTCGCTTCTCTGCCGCCGCCGCCGCCCACCTCACTCGAGTATAAGCTGAGGGGGCTTTTTCAGCATAAAAATGTGCTGAAAAAGTCGGCTTATACTCAAGTATATACGGTACCTCAATTACCTCCTCTCCCTATATGAACTAACCCAGACCCAGACCCTGTTCTTGTCATCTGAGGCCCTTCTTCATGTGCCTTCTCCACCAGAGGTCCAGAAGGTCCTTTCATCTGGTCAGCTCCCATGGTATTCCCATACCTGAAGACCCCTTAAGAAGACTCCCAGTGATGTTGGGAGTTGTATGGACTCAGAACACCAGCATTCCAGGTGATCCCATGTTTACCATTAGTAGCTGTCTATACCCAACTACAGGGACGCGGGTGCTGCTATGGGTTAAACCACAGAGCCTAGGACTTGCCAATCAGAAAGTCGGCGGTTCGAATCCCTGCGACGGGGTGAGCTCCCGTTGCTCGGTCCCTGCTCCTGCCAACCAAGCAGTTCG